GCGCTCGTTATTCCTGAGGTCTAATGACTTTATTGCGTCGATGAGAATGGCTGCGAAAATCAAAATGACTCGGCTGCTCGACAAAATAATCCGTTTCCTAGAAGTCAGCGCAGCCGAACTGATGTTTTCCGCGACCGGTAAATTTCTTTCTCGGTGATACGTATCCTACAGATGTGTAGATGACGTCGCGGACCGGCCAGCTCTTGAATAGGGCGTTGTGTTGATTCCGCTTGATTTCCGAGCTGGAGTCCAGGCTCTGGTCCGATCCGCTGACACTCTGAACTCTTCTATGTACAGTTGATGCCGGCCCTATTGTTTGAATCTCACAAGCGGTACTTTGTTGTGCACAGCACACTTATCACAGACCCACTCAGCAGCGATCTCCTGCGTCAGCATGTGGAATGCTGCTTCAGTTAGTCCAGTGCAAATTCTGTGGAACCAAAAGTTGCAGCCCGGCTCGCAAAATACGGCCTGGTCGTTGTCGTGCACTTCTTTATGACACACCCCACACGGGTACATTGCTCCTCCATTCTCGCGGCTCATGTATTGACCTAAAGGGCGGGGAAGGTATTCGAAGTTAGATTGCGGTAGTAAGAGCGTTCTCACTAATCTCCCCGAAAATCATCGCGAGCCACCGGCGTCCTGAGCCTTGAGGTCTCACCTTTCCCGGGCGGGAAATTCTTCGCTACATTTCCCTTGAGATGTGCGCTAGCATTGTGGCTGTCGTCGAACGGGTTATTGGCGATCAATTTCTCTTGGAAAGGGGTTGGTGGGAGATACAGGTTCGCTCCTTGATGCTGTGGGGAAGGACCTCCCAGAGGGGAACAACCATCCATTCGTCCTTGTTTGTTGGGTAAGGACCCGTTGTCGAGATCATCGCATTCTCTGCGCATCATGCCGACCGTCCTGTGCACTGCAAGAGCACAGAAAATTCAGGGAGAGGTCCGGTACTTTGGGAGGCTCTTTGTCGGGGGAATGGAATAGGAGCCACAGAACTTTATAAATTTGAAAGCTTGCTATGAGTCTGAGCCGCTAATCTATCTTCGACGACCAGGATAGCGCGGTGAATTGACAGCGATTTTGTGCATTGGAGCTGCTGCTAGAGAGATGGTCGAGCGTGAAAGATCAGAAGATTACCCCATGAGGGGCTCTCTCGAATTACATCTCGACGTGAGCTCAAGTTCTTCAACCTCTCAATGAGGGAATCTCATGGCTGTACTTCGTGATTCCCAGAGCTCGAAAATACTCCATCCGAAAGAGACTCGGACTTGCTTCCCATCGGCAGCAGCCGATTCAAAATCTCGATATCAAGTTTTCCGGCTCGAGGGAAAAAGCCTCCGCTCTCAGAGAGTGTGGAGCCGGGGTTCGAGTTGAGCACTCAGAGCTGTGTCAGTATTCAGCTCCCCCAAGGTCAGAAGGCGCCGAACGGAATTAGCCGGTACGCTGTACCAGGCGGGAAGCGCATAGGGATACGAGACCCCTTTATTCTAGACAAGAGCTTTGGCGCTCTTTGGCGCCCGCATTATCTGTACGGGAGTTACGTCCACATTCCTGTCGGATATCCACCGGGAAGGAGCGAGCTTACCTCATACAGACGCCAAGCTCGGCGCGATGCTGGCACGGAATTCTTATGAAGGCAGATACCACTGCACATTCATGTAACATAGAGAGACCGATCCGCGCACGATATCTCTTGATATCTCTAGACCCTTGAAGACTCCGCCAAATCAGCGGCCAAGAAAGTCGGGGAATCGAGAATCGGGCAATCGAGATTCGGGGAATCGGGGTAGAAACCCCTGGATACCCCCTGGACCTGCTCGACTTCCGGTCGTATCCACTCTCCGGGTGCTGCTTGGAATCTTTCCTCGTTTCCTGCCTGGATCCCCTCCTGGACGTCTGGCTGGATGTGCACCTCTCGAATCGGCTGAACTTGCTTTTCCATGGCTGCCTGGATCTCATCATTGATTCACGATCTCCCTGATAGAATCTCTCGGTATGTTATCCTCTCTCGTTACCCTACTCTCTTCGACCGGATCTCGAGTGAGAGCGTGTGCCTGACTTGAAGCCGTGCCTACCCTGAGCCTGACGCGACGGTCAAATTGAACTCCGAAATTCGATTGAGATGCGGTCCAATCGTGATGTGTTAACTCCAGTCTCAAGGCGGCGACTGCGCTTCAATCCGTCACCACAAGGGACCAAACGCATTGATCCTCGCCATCATTTCACTTGGGAAATGGTCAAGTTCGGTGTGGTAAAGATTCAGTATCTTCCCATGGCCAAAATGATCGCCGACATTCTGACAAGAAGTTCGTTGGCCGAGGAACCCAAGCAATGCCCGGAATGACTAGGGTTACGTCAGGGATCTGCCGTCTGCCAACCTTCTTGCCAAAATCAAACTATTCAGTCATTCTTCAGCCCCGGCAACAGTACCTTTCCCTGGAAATCCGCTCAATGCCACGGCAGTGTCTCCCGCTTCGTCTCTCGACCACACCCGCGGGGGAAAATCTTGTTCCCCCTGCGCACTTCCTCCTGATGCTCCCTTCGCCAGAAACATTCTATCAACATGGGCGCAAATCTGTCCTGACATGCGAAGGTTTGATGCCGAGGGAACGTGCAGCACATTGCCGGGGATGCGCGTGAAAATGTGCCCGGGAGCCATGGAATCAGAGGGCCGACAGCGCAAGCGCCGGGCGAACACCCGAGTGTTTGCCTCGATGTATCTCGAACTCCGGGATTTCCCCACTCGGGAAGAAGAAGGGGTTCGCGAAACAGTCTGCGGCCGGCACCACCGGGAACTCGATCGTGATCGAATCAAAACCCGGATCTAAGTCGTGAGAAGCGGCGAAAATCCCCTCATTCGATCGTCGCTTATCCGGGACAGCGACCCCGAATTTCCTAGCGGATGCAAGTCTGGATGTTCGACTCCTTCGGGAGGAATTACCGCTTGCGCTTCGAAAACACAGGTGGCTGGCTTGCGCTTCGAAAACACAGGTGGCTGGCTTGCGCAACGAGCATCTCTGAGCCGATCAAAGTTCGGACTCGCTAGTCTCCATCGGCGATTGACCGGAAGCGACGACCATTGCGGGGGTACCACGGTTCTTCTGCCGGCCGAAGGATCCACCGACGATGACCAGATATGCGATTCCTCCGGCGATTTGATTTTGCTGTCGGACACCGAAAATCTCCCATGGCTCTTCGCTTCCCAAGACGATGCAGATATCTCGCGGGCGCTGGTCTCATGAAATTTGTAAAATGACTTACGGTGGCGTTCTTCTCGGCGATTGGGGAGATGGATGATACTGGAAGGTTCGATCCTCCTTAGTTAGTAACGATGCGTACGTAGGTCGGTTTGGGACGAGCTTGAGTTGCACAAGCAACGATCGATTCCGATTGCGAGACTGCTGGTGAAGATGTGTCGAGCTCTAGAAGTCTTTCGAATGGGCGAGGACATCCTCTCCCAGACAATCGGAGCCCACCCTTCCGGAAATCCTCCAAACCCGCTCAGCCAGACAACCCATCAGCCTCAGCATCGTTCGAGCACAATCTATCCTTTCGTTGAGTTGAAGGACCTCGTTGGTCCTCGGACAGGAGCCAGAAACCGCTCAAGATATCTGAAATCTAGGGGTTGACCGGTATCCATGTGGGTTCTGAGTTCTGAATCAGCCTGATGAAGCTCAATTAGGGAGAATCGAAGAGGATCGAAGTTTCGATCGGGTGGCCAGCAGGTAGGTTTGTTGAATCGATAGAACGATTGGAAATATTCATATTCGGATGGGATCTCCCCCAGAACGACAGAGTCTTCCGATATAATTGTCTGCTGTCGGCTTTGCGGCTATCTCTGTGAATGGGTGGTCTGGCGAATTTTCTGTGCACCGAAAAACGAGCTCCATCGTTTGCAGGACCCCGGCTCGGGTTGCGGTTCAGCTTCACGAGATACTCGGGCGTTACATAAATGGAACTCGAGCGCATACGAGGCTAGATTCGGAGAGACTTGAGTCTTGAGTGAATCAAGTGCCGCTTGAGCCTTGATTCAGAGCTCGAGGAACACACGTATATGATACTTTGGTATATGATACCTGAACATTTGAACCCCGAACCACAAGAGAGGGTAAACGAGAAATGTGAAAACCCAGTTGAGAGAGGAATGATCGGCGAGAGTGGCGAGTGGGGCGCGGGCGAGGAGTCAGAGCGAGCGATCTCTTTTGATGCCTAATACGACGACGAGAGCGGTCATATCGCAACCAGGGACCCCCGGACTTCCGAACAGTTTTCAGAGGAGGACTTGGATATTTGAATAATTCATGACCTTGACTCGTCTCCCTAAAACTCATGCAGTGGCGACCATTGGTCATATGAGTTATGAGATAAGTCTTCAGGTGAGGGACGCTCGGAATGAAAGGAGGAGAGGATGAAGCCCCCGGTTCGAGGAACCAATGTCGATTACTTGAACTGCTTCTCGATAGGGGAGCGCAGTGAGAAGATTTTCGAACTCTAACCAGGAAGGTACAATAGAAGATTCCGGAGACGAGATCCCGTTCTCTGACGTCTGTGGGCGGAATCATCGTCCAAGCCCCTCTGTCATGTGACATGAGGCCCAAGCTCGGGGCGAAATTTCCCGAATTGTGGCTTTCGAGCACGAATTGCGCCGAGCTAGCAGAAAGTCTGGCGACTGAGGTTGAGTCGCCTCGTGGTCGCGCGTGCTATGCCTCGTCCGTCTCATCAATCACTCTCTGGTTGCGTCGAGCTCGCCTCCGGGTAGGTATATGAATTCTGGCAAACGAGTGAACATGATTGAAACCACAGCATATATAAGGCGTTTTCCGATAAACGACTTGACAATTAGCGTTCGTATCCATCAGAATTGCGTGAGACCGGGCTCGGTCGTTCGAGTCGCTCATAAGGGAAGAAGAATTCCACCTCAGAATGAAGCATGGGGATTGAATGACGCCGTGGACCTCCTTGGCTTTCGTCTCCTCGCGAAAGCGGTCTGATCCCCCGATGAAATCAGATGCCTCCCGCGGACAAACTAAACTTCTCCTCTTTTACGGATTCCTGAGACCTACGTCGGATGCGCGCCGCGAAGATTCTCGAGTACCACGACTCACGACTCGCTCTGGAGGGAACAGAGCACGGATGCTCAGGTGGCGGCCCGCTGGCCGAATCTAGCCGGCGCATAGATTTACATGATTGTATGGGATCCGGCCCGCGAGCAGGCTCATGCGGGAAATTTTAAAAAACAACAGTAGAAACAAGGTGAGACACTGGACGCAGGAGCTCCTCCTCTGCTGGAATGCTTAACTTTCGTGGTGGCCAGCCTCTGGCTCAATCGGACGGCCATTCTAGCGAATATCAGAGTCGGGGAATTCGCGACATCGACTTTGAGAATACCGGAGGCTCGATTGCGGACATTTGCAACGGTCGATCCCCTTCTAAACTATCGGAGGACGACGATTCCAGTGTTGAATATCGGGCACGAGGTTACATTCTTCCCCCCGGACAGAGGAATTCGGCCCGCCTCAATTTCCACCCGAGCAGCCCTGGGAATCAACGCAGCGCCGAGAAGAACTAATTTGAAGAACTAATTGATTGCTCTATTTTTTCCTTCATATCTGGTACGCCACAATGCTTTCACTGGCTCCAACCGGAGAGCTCTGCATCCAATCTGTGTGAGTGCGCTCCATCCTGATATGTAGTACCCTCCAGGCCCGAACAAACGTTCTGCGTTCTTGTTAAGACATTGGTTCTCGGAGGATGCCGTCTAATCGGAGTCTTTCTGCTCCGTGAACGTGACGAACGACGAGATTGAGCAGAGACCAGGGGTGACCAAGACGTGGCCCGGGGCTGATCTCGATGACTTTATGGGATCATATGTCGATTGGAACAAAATCCTGAAGGTGTTGCTCGTGAGTAATTGAAGTACTGCGATAAACACCTCCGAACGTGGGTCGATCATGACGGCGACCGGACGTGAGATAGCGGTCTGAGGGGACAGAGGTCCCGACCATGGTTCCATCCCCTCAATGGTGAAGTACGCCAAGGGACTGGAAAGCTAAAACCATTGCCCTTTATTAGATATAAAGTCTAGCCGCCCTCCTTCTATCCTAGAAAGAAGTCCTGTGTGCCTGTCTGTTGCCGCTTCCCCCGAGTGGAAGCCGCGAACACCGTCATCAGTTCGGGGCGAGGTACGGTGCACCTACCTTTTGGATTTGGATGATGATAAGGACTGGAAGACTGCATTGACACCAGGTAGTCGGACAAGAGCTGCCCCGCGGGGGTTCCGTCCTGATCGAACTTCTTGGTCCGTACCTGAGCGAGTGTTATGGATGAGAATGCTGTCTGGGGACTGAAAGATCGTAGATTTGCTTATTTCCCTCCAACGAACCTCCATGTTGGCTCGCTTTCCCCGGAAGTCGGCCCTTCCGAGAGTGTCGATGAGGAGCGAGCTCGGGACTTGGTTCCAAACAACACCAGTTGGAATTTGGAGTGAGACTCCCGCTACTAGATCTCAGGGCGATTGTCCTCTAATGCGCCAGCACCTCGTCTCGCCCAAGCATCTCTGGAAATGCGGACCTTTGTATCGTCTGCAAGCAGAGGGATTTCTAGTTCGTCACTGCGAGAATCGGGAGGACGGAGGCCCTCTGGTTCAGCAGTTTCTGCGGGAGTTCTTCCGCGTGGCCCGCATCGACAGAACTAGAAATTCCAAACGACGCGACGGCTTCGGGAGGTCTCGGTTCTTACTGTGGTGGGTTCTTCCTTGGAATATTTGAGCTAACCAGAAAGACAAGGGAAGAGGAGGCTAGTTTCTGCTCGAACATCGATTTTCCCGATGACTGGGGGAGGGACGACAAATCTATCCCCCGCCGAAATCATGATGGATTTCCGTGAAGAAAAATCTCTATCGGCCCAACGAACTTCCATCTTCATCTAGGGCGATTTTCCCACCAGTGTGAGTGCGAGATGCCCTCCGAAAATGATCACACTCCCTCGGGACTTGCTTCGAGACGGCTCAAGACTCCGGCACTCAAGCCTCGAATGGGACTTCTGTCAAGATGGGCGCGGAGCGACTCCGAGCTCCCGAAAAGCCACGCGGGAAGTTTCGCTCCTGATCCGATGACATGAGACAGCCCGCTGGTCAGCCGGGGAGCGACCTTGGTAATTGGGAGCGACCTCGCCTGAAGGAAATGGTTCGGTCTTGTTTGCTTGTCCGTAATTGGGCGTACCAAGGTGAGTCACATAGATGGCTTCAAGTATTGGCGCACTAATTGGATGCCTCCTCTCCGACGGAAATAGACTTCACGTAACTGGCGGAAGAATGTCAGACAGCCGGCACGCTGCAGAAGTGGAGACGGCTCGTGGAGTCGGCACTGGAGTCTCACGCTGCGCTCGCGTATACGGTCGATCCCGCTTATGAGAAAATCGCTTAAAGTAGAAAACCGGATATAAGAGACCGATCCCGATTCCCCGATTTTTTCTCCATAGCGCTTCATGCAAAAACCTCGATTATAAGAACTACGGATATAAGAGGAAACCGGACATAAGAGACCATTCCGAAACTCAGGCTCCATAGAGTCCCATGTCGGAGACCTCTTATATAAGAGAGAACCATCTCAAGCAGAATTCTGGTTCGCCCTTCAATGACTTCTCTCCCTCTCAAAAGCTGCCCGAATAAGAGATGGTTCCGATGAAATTCCGTAATAAATCAGAACTCGCTCTGAAAACCATCGTCTCTGCGCTGAATCATGGTATGGGCGCCCGAGTCATACGAGAACGGGACTTCTCAGGTTTTTCCGTGGAAAACCCGTACCTCGGATATTAGGGAGACCGGATATGAGAGACCATTTTCGATTCCCCGAGAGGCCTCTTATAAGCGGAGTCGACTGTATTTAAAAGCTTCGCGCTCGATGGACAGAATTCACTCCTTAGGTTATGTGAGTTGCTTCCGGGAACGTCCATGAAGGGCTTGGGATTCGCGCCCGTGCGAGATCGCGACTCCGATACGGGAGCTCTTATGGAGCGAATCGTTTCCCAGTTCACCGTCAGACCCATCGCGAAGTGATCAAGTAACCAGGCTGACGCGGATACGCGCGGAACTACCCATGGTGGAGAATCCGGCGATAGATGAGGTGGGACCCTGCGGAGCTTCCCGCAGGCCGCTAATCAAATTCGTCGAGAAATTAATGCATTCTCCTCGCTTATTCCTCAAGGCTTCGACGAGTGCTATTCATGTGTGTCTCACATCGAATAGAAAAACCGATTCGTCGCAGGTTCGAGAATGAGCTGTCTTCCGGAATTATTTTCGATTACCACCTTGACGCAATGCCAAAAGCCGGCCTTCTCTCGTATCGCCCCAAAAGGAGCATGGGACCCGGGCGATTGGGTATTGTCACAAACGGACAAATCATCCAGAACGTGCTCGAGGTTGATCCATTAGACGGGTACTTTTATCATCATGAGAAAGTTCTCATTAGGGGTCATGACTCGCAACGGACAATAAACGTTCAGCATTCGATCTGATTGTGTCACCCGACTGTGTTGGAATTCTTCTTCATGCTGAATCTCCAGACACATGAGCAGGAGGATAAGCGGAGCAGAGGGAAACCGCCTGAATCAGCTCAGTCGGGGAAGCTTTGACTCCTGAATGATGCCTGCTTCGTCTCAAGAATGATTACCAACTTGAGACATCGTCACTAAAACTGGGAATGAGGCGCGCCGCTCTCGAACTTCACATGAGCTGAAACCGAAACAGAAAAATCTATGGAGTTAATTTTCCAGCGTCGTTTGATGCTCGGTTTTACCTCGAATGAGACAAGCTGATCGCCCGATCAGAAGAGTGCCATAGGTGGTTCCGCCGATCTCGCAGGAAAATCAGGATTAGAGGAAACCAAGGGGCTAATGCTTGTCGGGCTGATGGGCTCTGGTCGGTCAACATTCATGCAATGACAAGAGCGCCACCTGTTCCCTCCTCGAGAGCTTTTCCGGCGCTGCCTATGTAGTCCAGCGCTTTGAAGACAAACTCGTTCAAAGCCCATACAAGAGACGGACTGAAACAGAAGAATCTTCAGAAGATCTCCGGTCCACCGGAGCGCTGGATTCGTGCGCCTCAAATGAAGGAGAATCGAATCTGCCCGGAAGCTCTCTGACCGGTTTACCCTCGAAGCGACCAGGTTTCACGATTGAATATACGAGGTACCTGCGAAGAAGCTCGGCTGAAATTCCCTTGTGTCCTTTCCGTACCTAGCCCCATGGCTCATGGTATATTCAGCGTCAGCTGCTCCCTAACAGTTTGTTCCTCGGAGATCGTGCCGCGGTTTGCTTCTCCAAGTTGACAAATATCGAGAAAACTTCGACGGGGGGGAGTTCTCTCAGGGGGGAACAAACGATGGCGTGAGTCGCACTTTCGGACCGGCGAACGATGAAGGGGCACACACGCGTGCGGATTTCTCCTCTATTCATTTCCTTCCTTCTCGTTATGAAGAGCTTATTACGAGGTATAGGGAAATGATAAGGGAGAAAACTCATCAGTTCATCCTTCTCGTCCTTGCAACATCAACGAAGAAATTTCTAGGCTGATTGACAATGAGAGTATCTCCTTTCGCGTAATGTCCATTCCAAAGAGTTTTGGCACATTTAGTTTATTTCGCCCGACTTCCTCGCTCGGCGGTAAGAGTTCGCCATCGGCTACGCTTTGGAACATTTCGTGCAGCGAAACATCGATTTTTTTTCGCTGCCTCCTGCATATTCGGAGACCTCCTCCATGTTGTGTGGAGGAGTCAGTTTCTACACATTAACGTTAGAACCTCATTGCGTTCCTCATTCTCCGACTTCTCGCACTGCGGAACCTTCGAGCTTCCCCATACGATAGTATTCCCTGGAAATCGACGGTGAACATTCTTGTGCACCCGAGGGACAAGAAACCCCTCAGGGGATTCTAGCTGGGAATTTCGAGATGCATATCAGCGCATGATTGCGGAAAGAGATGATGCAACGGAGACTTGGAATACCCCAGATATTCGAGAACCCGACAGGCCCAGAGAATTGTCCTCTCTTCCACCGTCCTCCCCATTCTTTATCTTCGGGCGTCCTCAACCTGGGCCATGGTCCAAGCTTGATGACGTTGAGACTTGAGACGATGATTTTTAATTCGCGACCCGTTTCGGACCTCCCCATATGCGCGAGGGGTATCAACCTTCCTCCCCCAATACCTCGACCATCATAGCCACTTCTACCGACACGCAGACTGTGTAGCGGGTCTGAAAGAGACGGGCTGTTCCGGGGCGGCGGAAACTTCCTGTTTTCCGCCGGAAAACGGCCGCCTCTCTTGTCGCGCGGCGAACAGCGAAAACGAAGGCAGAATCCGCGAAGCTTCGTTGGCTGTCGTCGTCGGTCGTGGCCAGCGCCTCCGGCGTGGCCAAGAGGTCGACGGAGACAAGGAAAAGAAACAGGGAAGAGAAGGCTGCCCACCATCGATGTCGTTCGCCTCCGCTGTTTCCCTCCTCGATGCTCCCTCCCATTCGTTCCCTCGGTCGCCGACCACATCGAAGGGACGCGCGTGTCTCCACCGCTGCGTGCCGGCTCGCGTGCTTCGTGGAAGACGGAGAGTACGCGGACAGGGTGGCTCGCAGCGGATGGGCGACGAAAGTCACCGGCGGCGCGCAGGAAGAGTGGAGCTAGCGGGGAAAAACGGCACTGGGAGCGGCGGCGGCGGCATCCTCTCTTCCGTCTCTCGCCGCCCGCCGTGGAGCTCTTTCCACGCGGGCAAGCGGGCAGCCAGGAGCCGCTCCCTCGCTGGGAGCTCGACCGGCTAAGGATGGGCAGGCTGTCCGGACGGCTCTGACTTTATCGCTCGTTCGCCTCACTCGCTCGCTGGCTGTTTTGGCTGCTGTTGGCAGCCTCCCTACCGTAGCGCTCAGCGCCGACTGCTTCGAAACACTCTGCGGCTGCCGCTGCTGCTACTCTTGCCTACCGGGAGACTGGCTCTGGCCGCCGCTAGCCTAACTGACGACGATTGAGAGAGGCTGGCTGACTGCTAGCCGCCCTGCAGGCAGTCTGTCCGTCTGTGTTTCGCACTGTGCTTGCTCTAACACACAAATACACTAGAGCTTAGCCGACCGTCAGAGAGACCGACAGACGAAACATCGCTCGAATTTGTTGTCGTCGTCCAAACAGAGGATCCCTCGAAGACGGCAGCGGAAAAGCACGGCGGCTCCGGCACTAGAAGCGGAAAGAGCGCTCTCGGAGGCGAGGGGTTCAAACACGAACACCGAGTGCAGTTGTTAATGTTGTTCGTGGAATTCGACAGCGTCCCGTTGAGCCAGGGGAAAAAACAGTTGTGCTTCTAGTGGATTTTCCGTGGTTCCGTTCGCGGGGCATAAGACGGACGCCGGCATAGATGCTCTGACCGAGCTGTCTGTTGTACTGCTGTACCACCATCCACCCATCGAAACAACAGCAGCCGCAGTGGCCGCGGCAGCATCAGCACTCACATCGGCACCGACACACCCTGTGCGGAAATTTCGCTTCGAGCTAAATCGCCTACATCGTCGCCGAATCATTGGATTCCAGTGCTTGTTCGCCACTAGGATTGTGTTCTGTTCGAGCTAAGAGTTCGAGCTCACGCTAAATCGAGCGTCGTCGAGTTGGGCGGCGTCATTGAGGCACAGCGCTTGTGAAGATGGCGGCTCCGAGGACGAGATTCTGACGGTCTCCGGAACCTAAGGTACGATATAGATACAGTCTTGTTTCGTGCAGAGCTGGTTGAGCAGTTCGGGAAAGTCGGCGCTCAGGAACTCGATCGGGCGCTACTCCTGTCAGACGTATAATCGGAGCGAGACGGCTCCTTGGCCGAGAGCGCTCCTACCAACTTAGCTAAGGTCATGTGGGATGTCAATGGCCGCCCTGAACCCCCGAAAAGTTCTCTCCGCCCGACGATTTCCCGTCGGGTGTCTTCTACCGGAATCCGATTCGAACGTCGTCACGGTCCTCTCGAACCAGACGCTCCGAGCCTTGTGTAGGGGAGTCTCGAGCGTGACATATTTTTCCCCTTCAGCTCCGTACTCCGGGGTTCCCCTCGAGAGAGCTGTGCCATCCGCTGATATCCGCATCGAGCGACTGGCAGGGTTCCTCATGTGAAAGTTCCCTCATCCCCTCGCAGTCTCCAGCCGTCTATCTTGTGGGGTTGGGTTTCTAGGCAATAGCATTGCTTTTATTTTGGGGGTTCCCTATGGGCTGGAGGAAACATGGCGGGGGATGGAATGATGGCGGCCGTGTGTGGCTTCGTCGGTCGCTCCGACTGCCGGCGTGGTATCCGCCCACGACAGGGAGCCTCGGGTATTTCGACTAATGTCCTCTTATGTTCGAGACTTGTTCTCTTGTGCGTCCGCGCGAGTTCCGCTTACTAAACTCGGACTTATCCGCGCCGGATTTAGAGTTTCGCATTATTCGGGAGCTATGTCGGTCGGGTGCGCCTGTCGGAAGACACTGCTGCTCTTAATGGAACAAACGTGCACTTCATCCCGAGAGTTTCCCCTTCCGTTCAACTGGGTCGAGGCTTCCAAGCGATGTTTCATCGATTATATCCCATCCGGGTTTTTCCGGGAGTGCTCGGGGAATCGGTCCGGTGTGGACTCGGACCGCCTTACTCTATGTTCGATTTCCCAGTCCGATTTTCCGCACCTGAGACCCAACTCGAACCGAGATTCTTTCCTCCCGGCCCGAGCTCGAAATAAGAAATGGAAGCCTTGACATCGGTCTGGGCTCGGCAGGGGGTTTCTCCCTCTAGAGAGATTAGGAATATAAGACGGGGCCGTGAGTACGTACTTGTACGCAATCATGCATTCATACCCCGGAGCTAGGGCCGATCGAGATCGGTGCACGTAATTCAGTAAGCTGCTCCCAAACCGTGTCACGTGTTCTCTGGTCGCGTGTCTCCTTAAGTCGGAATCATTTCTTGCCTCTCAGTGTCTCGTGCGCTCACGATAAGAGAGGACTCGACGAAGCGAAGCTTCGATCCGAAGTCCCGGGTCGTTCTTGCTTCGGAAAAACGGTGGAATAATTGTTCAGCTTCAAACAGTTAGTTAATTAGAAATATCTGACTGGCGTCTTCCGGCCTGCTTTGTTCGACGGGTGTTCCATCAATTGCCGAGCAGCAGCAGCATCATCATCGCCGCCGCCGCCGTTCACAGTTCGACGCTGCTACGTCTGCTGATGCTTATTCCGGGTGTAAACTTGAATGCTTACAGTGGCTGCCGGGATCACACATGTTCTGAAAACAAGATCGGGTTCGCTGTGTTGAGATTTCTCTGAATTGGAAGACGAGTTTCGTTCTCGAGCCAGGGATCAGGGGAAAACGAAAGGAGACGAACAATGTTTGTATTCTCTGTCGTTCTAAGATTCGCCCGAGCTAGTCGGGGCAAAGAAAGCGCTCCTAACGATGCTGGGCGGGTACTCGACTGGATTCTTTGTTTTTGACGGGAGCCTCCTCGCGCTCGGACTTTTGTTCGGTCACAACCGATGCTCCGCTGTCCGCTCCATCGTTCGTCGTTCGTTTGTTCCTTCGCTCGCTTTGTGTCCATCTTGTGGATTTTGCCTTCCGTGGTCGGACTACAGACCGCGGCCGCATCATTTCCAGGTCAAGCGGCAGATGCATTTTGCCCGTTCGACTTCTGGATCGAGCAAATGATCGAATGACTCTTTCCCGGATCGATCCGACAGAAGAGATAGATACATGTCAAATGATCCGAGTATATCGCCAAATTTTTCTCAGTCAGCGGAGCGCAGAAGCAGAAGTCCCTGCTCCCGACTCTCGACAGGCACGAGACGACAGCGATCATACCATCGGACCTCGCGGTAGCGAGACGCGATAATATCTCGATGGATCTCAGCTCAACGCTCAAATAATTGGAATAATTGAATGACAACGGAGTCGTAGAAAAATATTCCCAGCCGACACCGGCTGAAGAGCTCAGACGCCTAGAGAAAACTGTGTGTTCGCTTGATCGACCGCTACACTTTCGAGGAACGATTGGCCCAGCGGTTCGACAAGCCGATCGGCACCCCGAGCGACTGAATCCTGACTCCTTCGGTCAGAGACCTTAACAAAAGCGAGCCGTCTCGTCAACGTTCTCTGGGAGGATATTGAGTATGCAAATGAGGGTACGTTCCTCCATGGAGACCAATCTGCTGCCTCTGATTCGACTCCCATTCTCCCACCGACGCCAGCGCTCCGTCCGCCCCTGCTCTACTTTGTCAACACGGTCCTTCGTGAGGATCGGCGTACTCTTGTCGAGGCAGGAAAACTAGGAAGCTGCGGAGGAATGAGGAGGAACGAAGAGCAGAGAGCCCCGAATAATCAGGAAGCACGGCGATTGAAGTTGACGTTCCGTCGACACTGCAATCGGTTGCCCCACATCGGGTTCACCGATTGACCGAAGTTCTCTGGCAGCAGAAATGATAGAGCCAAGAACGGAGCATAAATACATATATGGCTTTTATTGCCGTGCTTGTCGACAACCAATCACCTTTCACATTCTCCGTTACGTTGGAATCGAACGGATGGAGCGAGAAGCCACCACGGAGGTCGAGGGCGAGACTTCCGTCCCTACAATCAGGAACGAGCCTCTTTTTATCGTGTTCCTTTCTTGTTCTGCGCGTGAACAGCCCTCGCCGGTTGGTCGTACGAGGGGCAACTCCGGACAAACAAAAGAGCAAACAGAAATGCAGCGAACACGCGCATATGCATTCTACGTGCAGGCGTTGGAGGGGCTCCTATAGCAGTCGCGGACGCTTCTGTTTACAGTCGCCCTTGGCTGTTTGTCTGCTGTGTGACTCCGTGGCGCGGTCTCTAAACTGTGGATCTGAAGTTTTGAGAGCTCTCCACCGGTATCCCGAAATAGTTCTTGGTGATACTTACGACCGCGGTGGCATAGCATCTGTGAGTTTGCCAACTTCAGGACCTAACTTCAAAGATACGACGTGATCGAATTCGAGCGCGCGAACACGCATGGGGCGCCGATGTCATCAAAATTCAGCATAAGGCAATTCGATGCGGAATGTGAGGCATTTCATTATCGGAGGAGGCGAGCGGCGATTACCCGTCGGAACTTTGTCGGGAAAATTGTTCATAGTCTTCTATCCGGCGGAGAGTCGCCTGCGGATCATGCCGCCGTCATCGTTCGCCTCGCCACGCTTGCATTGATTCATCGTCGTTGAACCCGATACTCTATAAACTTGTGCCTTCCGAGAATCGATCAGGACTCCGATCCTCGGCTGCCTGGCTGGCGAGTCGGCTTGGCTAGCCATCTTCTCATGAGAGACTCCGTACACGGCTCATGCAACCAATTATGATTCCGAAGTTTACAAGTTCGAAAATAGAGACGGCATGATACTGAGTAAATTCATTTTCTATTTGCAGATCGGACAAAGAGCACGGCTTCGGGATCGCACGGCTCTGGTTTCACGCGAATTTCAGTCTCAGGCAGATTAGCCACGTTTTCGAGAGCAAATAGTCACCGATCCGGCGTCGTCATGAAGCTGCCATTCCTCGAATATAGTCGGCATCCCGATATTTCAGAGCGAGTCCGGTATCACATCTCGCAACTGGTGGACTATTTCCACGCAGTTCCGCACTTCGACGTCAACCTACAGCCTGTCAATGGCACCTTTGATCCATACAACAACATATACCTCGAGGTGAGCTCTCGTTAGACGATGACATGAATAAAATATCGTTCCGAGCTCTTCGGTTGCATTGTCGATGCTCAGGGTGTGCGTTTGGAAACTCATACTTCGCGATACATTCCTCTCGTATCGAGGCAGAGAATGAAGTCATGGGGTCTGCCTGTGTAGCTCTCTCAATATGATCGCCGCCTTCTTCACCGTGGTGCTCGAATGTGTCCCGGAATCGCCTTCCTCTGTATCTCGAGTATTTTTCTGCAGATCTCCACCCGAACGTTAACGGTCTCCAGACGTCCCCGTCGTTCTCGATCTCTGTACTCTTTGTTTCTCACTCGCTAGCATTCCTACAGTTGGCAGGGGTGCCTCCGAGTAGTAAATGATCCATCTCCGCTCGTCTATGTCTTTATTTCTCTGTCACCGTTTGTGCATTCCTTCTCATCTGGAGCATTTTCACTTTTATCGGATCCGTTCCGTGGGAGAGCGTCGATATCTCGTTAGCGTCGATAGCGTCGGCATATTTGGGTGAATACAGTTAGTATCTCGACGCAATGAGCTAGATGCTCAAAACTCGCGATACCACGCTGTCTGAGTGCGGGTCCGTGAGACTCGGCCCGGCCCTGGAGAACATGCTCACGCCGAGTTTTTTTGGAGGCGTAAACGTTTCTCAAGCACAAAAACAAAGTGAGAAGCATGAGATAAAAATGTAGCGGCGGGCTAATCTCATTCAACAGAGCAGTCGTTAGACCGCCGACCGGTCTCACTCTCGGTCGGTGGGTCGGTCGGCGCTTCGCTTACATGGAGTCTTGTTGGACTCCAGCGAACGGCACAGTCGGTTAGTCAGTCAGCATGCTCTTACTCGAACGCTCATTCCACATCAGTGAAAGCGCTGATGTCGACGCTAGAAACGTTACCATGCTGCCGGTCTCCGTCTCCGTTTATTTATTTTCTCGGATGTCTTCTCCCCGGAGAAGAGGTCTCGCCCCGATCCGAGAAACAGAACAAAGAAGCGCCCCGCGTCCTGCATATCCAAAACAAACCGCATGATAGCGTGGACTACACTCGATGAAAGCATAAAGAAGTCGCTGGCATTCCCAGAGCCCGACACGACGACGGACGAGGGTTCTCGAGAAGAGAGTGCGATAAATTCCGTCAGTACACTCAGACCGAAGGACCGTCTCGGACTCCACCCTGTTATTTAGAATGGTGACAACCTGTATCCCGGTCTGAGGAGCGAGCACGCTATCACGTGGCCACGTGTAGAACCAGCGGAGCTTTCCTGAGGATTTGAGGGGTCGTCGCATGAGCTTGTACGTAGATGTAAATCTTTCGAGTCGCAGAAAATATCCCGCGCCGTGACAAATGAATTCTGTTTATGCCTCGCCAAGATCCGATCGAGAGAGCTCATCGCTCGGAACACAAGCTGTCTGATGGAATGATACGCATGTAGATTCGGTCAGTATTTTCAATCGGTACCACATTCTGACGCTATTGAGCGTTTTCCGGCGCGTTGGGCCCCGCTGTAGAAGTCGTCGTGGAAACCACAGAGCGGGCTAACGAGCCATAAGCGATGGAGGTTGAAGGAGCTCCCTATTTCTGGCGATGGTCTCTCCCTTCCCTTCCTACGAATGTGTATCCAGACGCAACCAGATCGCGGCTGGTGGCGGGCGTCAATATCAAATTATTCTCCACTGATCGCATCTCGGCCTGGAAAGCTCGGTCGCGGCGTCGCTCTCAACGATTGAGTCGTCGGATGATCGATCGGCGGAGACTTTATCATAATGATTTTGAGAGGACCAGAACCGGCCCATCATCATGTCGAAGTCCGACCTGGGGCTTCGTCGACGAGCCATTAGGGAGCGGAACTAACGATTACCACGATTTCTCGAGCAATCAGAGGACGTTCTTGATCAAAGAGAAGGAATGGACGTGGAAGCAAACAAGCGTGTTTGTTCATGTCCCGTGGGGTGCAGTAAGCATTGCACGCTCGCTGGGCAAACAGTCAAGCAAGCCGTTCAGACATTTGGCCAATGCGATTAGGCTTATTGAGTTTGTTCCCGCACACGCACTCGCTCGGAATAATTTCTTACGTTAGCACAACATGCGAGCCCACGTTAAGCCTACACCGCCTCCCCGGATCCTCCATGAAAGATCGCACCCGTCAATCCCGCGGTCTGCGCGCGGGAAATTACGCTTAGGTATCGTGCGATCGTTTGTTGGACGGAGGACGATCGAGACGCTAATCGACTCGTTTCCTATTGCAGAGCCTCGGCATCTTGGTCGCCGTTCCAGGCTTTTGGTTGATCTTCACCCTGTTCGCGTTCTTAATCTTCTTCCTCTGTCGATGCTGTGATTCGAGTTCCAAGAAGAAAAACAAAATCACACCCCTCAAGTGGATTCTGGCTTTCTTTGCCCTGCTGTGTTGGTAAGTCGATCTCGAAAGCTGCCGAAACTCTGGAGACCGCTGGACGCACGAATATCAGAAGTCGGCAACACCGGGAGGCCTTATACATGCTGCTCTACGAGCCCCGATTGTTTTGAGACGCTTCTTATCGGGATCAAGACGGCTGCAGGGCTTCCTCAAATATCTGGGAAGTTTTCAGAAGCTGCTTACTTAGCTTGTCCACAGCTATCGAAAGCGGCAACAGGGATAAAACAAAAGGACTCGACTCGTAGCCGCTCACGACGAAGACTCCGAGTCGGTGCTGGGCAGCGCCGCTCCGTGTCATCGACTTTCTCCTAAGAATTCCCTCCGATCTTTGAAAAGGCTTCTCCAAATCCTTGTTTGCTCCTAGCGGACAAGCTAGCGTCTGAGGAAGTTTTCCTCCGTCTAATCCCGGACTGAAAGGCTTCCACTCAAGTTCGACTTGAGCAACTTCACGCGGTCGAGCTTCTCTTTTTTCCAAAAAGACGCCACGCCCTGTGATGCATAGCATTGCGGTGCCCCATTGACCGACCTGTTCTCGAGCTGGGTGAACCATGGAAGCCCACGAAATTCCTGCGGTACGAATAGTGTCCATTTCGGCTCAGCAATGTGAGAGTCCTTGTTCAGCAGAATCTTGTGGTCATAGAGAGGGAGCCTCATTTTTTTTGTATCTAAAGCATTGTTGTGGGCTGCCTGGGGCCCGGAGATCTCACCGAATTTCTGTTCCCCTAATTCGATAGCTGCGGGAGTCGCTCCTATTGTTATCTATTGGCTGACGAGGACCACCGCGGTCTCCCCAAAGGCGGGAGGGGTCGGTTAGCAGCCGGGCGGGGGATCCGGCTATCGGTCATAATAGAGAGGGCGATAACCTCCTCGGACCGAACGCCAGCCATTAACTCGCAACTCCCTCATGGAGTCTCCCTGAGTTCGCGTCACGTTCCTTGTCTCGAGTTGTTTCGTTAAGAGTCCGATGGGGCTGGAGATTGCGCGGAATCGACCGGGGAATTTCTACCGCCATGGCACGGGCTACAATAATCCAATCGATCCCTATTTGACCCTGAAAACCATATATGATGGTCTCTGTGGAAAGCGAAAGGATCACGAAGATCTTCAGTTTTGGAAGATTTCAGCGAACCTGGCGGAGCTCTCGATTAGAGTAGACGTAGACGATGATTCAGACACTATCATTCGCGATGACGAATTCATTAGTCATGCTTCGAACGATGACGGCAAGATGTCGAATCCCTACCACGACGCGACGCTTGTGATCACGTAATCTCTCGATATTCGCTGATGATCATGATTCATCTCCAATTGAATTGGTGCCGTTGACTCTACTTGATTTCGGATCGGCCATAAGACCCGGCCAGGAGGCTCGAGAGACGCACGGAAGTAGTTCCTCTCGAACGACAAGTCCAGCGATTGCCTCCCCTTTATCTCTGCAATAGGAAGGATGTCTCTTTAACGACTCGCCTCTAATAAAGATTTTCTCCGACTCCTCCAGTGGCGCTCTAAGTTTGGGACTGTTCGGGAACGACCAAGCCCATCAGGCACTTCTGGTGGTACAACGAAGCACTAGCGAGATGGAGAACGTCGTAAAGTCTGTTAGGAACGAAACCTTGCTCATCGAGCAGATTCTCGACAATTCGATCCGTGAAGACGTCGACCAGATATCGGTCGCCTTTTCTGGTAAGTTCTCCTATCACATTCTACGTCGTGCAGAGCTCCCTCTCCCTAGGTAGGAACCGAGCATCTACGCCCGCTGCGCAAAAGCGACGACTGCGTCTATTCCCGACTCCCAGGGCGGGGAGGAAAATAATTCTTTGGGAGCGATACCCCCTCGCGAATCATTGCGAAAGCTGCCCTCGTACCGTTCCTCTATCGCTTTCTCGGAACTTTCTTCTTCGTTTTCTTTCCCGATGGTCAGGACTTGATGGTGGAAACGGTTCGTGACTTCGCCGCGATATCGGTTTCTCGGCCTTCCCCGCTATTCAAACTTGAGAGTTCTCGAGTCCGGAGGGTTTCAGGGCATTTTTCATTTTGTCTGCGGGACGGGCCGCCAGCGTCGAGCGGAGTGGAAAAGATGTTCCGTTCGGCATGGGACAACGGCGTTTCTCTATTCCCTTATCCTCGAGGAATGCGCCTTATTATTAGATAGTATCTGAAAACAGCCGAAACGCGACACCGCGAAAAGTTCTCGTCCCTAGATGAGAGTCTAGGGAGAATCTTGAGCAGGGAGCTCTACCTTTGAATGTTGTGATATAGCCTACGGGCAAGCAGTTGCGCTCCGAAATTAAGAACTCGATTCTATGCAGCGCCTCTGCCGAACGCTACCGTGCGTTCAATGGTACGCGAAACCCTGGGACACATGCGTGCGAACATCAGCCAAAGTCTGGCGAAAACCAAGGACATGAACATCAAAATGAAAGCCCTCGACCTCAGGAACCTGCCGCAATGGCTTCAAATCGTGGAATTTTTCCGCTGGCCCGGCACAATCACGTTGTTGTGCGGGCTGATTTTCATCTGTCTCCTGCTCTTGTGGGGAGTCATTAGGCACTCGCGCTGTCTGCTCATCCTATTCTCGGTCCTGGGTCTGCTTTCTGTAGTTATCTGTTGGGTTATGGTCTCTCTGTACTTCGGAATCGCAGTCGCTGGTGCCGACTTCTGCTTCAATCCGGAGCCGTTCTTCAACAGGTGAGTGCTTAACATTCCGGTGTATTAAATTCGAGATGCGTAGCTTAGCCTCACTAATAATTATCGTACGATTTGAGAGGCCATAGTCGAGCTCAGAAACTAACCACCTAATCGTCTCCGATAGAATGGCTGGCAATAATGACGGCGAGCGACTGGCTATCGAGTACTACATGACCTGTGAAGAGATGACCGATAACCCATTCAAATTCGACATTGTCGAAGGCAAGCGCGCCATCCAGGATCTTCAGGCCAATACGCAAGTCCTGAAAAGAATTGCCAACCAGTATCTTCCGCAACGGGTGAGCGGGGCTTGAGCGACTGTGCCAGCGAAACGTTTGCTGCTCGCTGCATCTCTGGAACGATCGCGAGCTACCTTAAGTTCGTCCGCTGGAACGACCGACTCTCCCGATTAACACGAATTTCTATGTCGATTAGGAGGTGCATACACTGCTGCATTCATTGGAAAAACGCCTGGAGGAAACCGAGAGGACCTTGAGCCGTATGGCGACATTGGTTGAATGTACGACCATCCAGAACGAATACCTCAACGCTATGGAGGAAATATGCGTGAGCACGTTCGAAGGTGAGTCCTGCTCCCGCGGTCTTGAGCGACCTCCATGATATCGTCCGAAGGACGTCCCGCGAGCAGTGTTCGGAACGGGAACACGATTGATTCTCCGGTCGTCGACGTGTTGTATCAACGAATTTTGATCCCTCCCAGGAACGGTGTTCATGTTAGCCTCCGCGGCCGCATCTGGTTTCCTCTTCACAATACTCATCTGGATCGCATCCCACACTTGGATCCACATACGTTCCCGGTAAGTTTCGGGACGGTTCTAGGAGCCCCCCGAGTCCCCCTCCCGCGCGCCCTATATCATCCAAGCCTCTCTGCACCCGATCAGTTTATTTTAGTTTCCCTTTCTCTCGATTGATTTGATCGTACATTTTCACATCGGTCGATCCGATCATCTGGCCCCATTCCGCCCTGGAAGTATTTCTTGATCGAAAATAGGTAGTGCTGTCATGTATAGGTACGCCCTATCCCCCCCCCGTCCTGACTTGAGACAGAGAAGGGCAACTCCCCGCTTGAGTATGTGAATTGCATCCGTCGCTGCGTTACCGCGCAGGGACTCCACTAAAACGAACGTATCCCATAGCCACCCTCGCAACGATTCAACCGAGGATGAGGGAAGGCCGTTTCTGCCCAGTGCCGTCGTTACGGGTGGTACACTCAGCCGTGGAGTACCTCGAAACACGTACGATTCAAATGTGACTAAGAATATGCAGAAGCAGCACCGCTTGCGGGCGCAACAGCGTGCCGAAAACGAGTTCAGAAGCGGTCTGCTGTCGAAGTCGAATGCCAAACTGGCATACCTCTACGACGCCAACAACTTCTATCCACCTTCACACGCTGGCCTGCACGGCGACGTCCTGCCGGGACACCGCACGCAATCGCATGACCAGGCTGCGTCGCCGGTGGAACCTCTTCTGGGATCTGCCTTGTCGTGAGCATGAGTTCTTTTTTCTTTCAATTCACTTTCTTTCTTTGGAACTATTCATATGTGATTAGTATGATTAAGTTACATCACTCTCATGCCATCTTGTCTTGCGGTGGAGAATCTTCCGATTCGTGGAGTCCGGCAAGGAGCTCCACTCGATCTCGACTTCTAGCATTCCCCTGCATCGCGAATCGCGAGATCTCTTCCACGGAGTGTCAAAATCGGAGCTTTCCTGCAGCGCAGACTCTCGTCACAAGATTCCCTCAGCGGATAATACGCTCCGGTGACATTCGGGGGAGCTCCATCTAAATTCGCTTACGATTCGTCGGATTTCGACATCGATGCAGATCTTTCTGATCAGTCAGATATTGAAGTCACATTGATATTCATGAGCTGCTTGTATCGGGTGAACACCACCATGGATGCTGTGAGCCTTTGAGCTCAAAAAGAAAAAACAGTCTCGCCGAATCGGACTCAGGATCCTCCAGCATTTTGACCCGCATACGTCGATTGCACAGGAGTATACAAACCCTTCAGCACACCTGATCGACAGCACAATTCTTATCAATGAATTCATTTCGAGCCCCGGCTGCTGACCAAAATCGGGAAGCTCCGCGAAGCCACGGCAATTCCAATCGAGAATCCTCGAATCAAACTCTTACATCGAAAGTCCACCTATGTTTATGACTCTTGAGTCTGAGACCTAGAAGAGCCTCAATGGAGTTGAGCATGAGGCCCGGGCCGAATGCTTTGAACGGTGTTCACACACGAGATGAATTTTTTTCAACACGGCTGAATCCATCACAAGGCTCGGAAGCCGCACTAATTGTTCAAAGCCGATGGGCACGAATCTCATTTTGGGAATTCTGCTTCCGAAAACCCCATAGTACAGCGCATCGCCGCATATTCCCAGGAGAGAGTGCGAACGGAGTCCTGATGGATTACTGGGACATCATCCGATCGATGGTTACGCTACGCACGATTCGAGCGACGAGCAGTACCACAGTGATGCTGGACAGTACTACCGGTAAAGAGTGCCGTACCGAATGGGAGAGCCATGGGTTGCGTGTTTCTAGTGTTAGTTCCAGCAGACGGAAGAGCGCTCCCCTCATCGTGAATATTTGTGATGGATTATTATCCAAGGAACACCCCGAGTTTCCTCGAGGGGAGGAGAATCTCGTCGGTTTGGTGGCATCTAACGTTGTCTGTGTTCTGCTGTTCTGTCTCCGCGAACTTGTGCTTGTTTGATCAACATCATCGAGTGCCCATCTCTCCGTAAAGAGCCCGGAACTAACCCCGGCTAACCCAAAGTCTCTGTTGGAGTGTTCGACTCGTGCTCGTGACGTCTAGGAATGACGATATGATGTGCGGGGACTCTCCGTAATGTCCGTTCCTCCTTGTGATAGCAACACGCAGAGTGTCGGCGTTCGATATCGAGTAGAACGGTGAGACTCACGGCTGCCTCCGGTTCTCTCCCATTGATTCTTCTAGGTGCGGCTGCAAGAAGCGAGTTTCGAAGTGGGTGTGAAACTGCGGGAACATTGCGTAAGAGTCGTTCGATACACGGGGCTTGTTATCAGTGATATTATCACATATCGTGATCACCACGAGGACGACTGCCTGCTCGAGATGCAAGCGCACTTTCAAGCGAGCCGCGCGACGGTTCCTCACCGTTCCTATCATATCGGATATCGGCACACCTCGACGTCCTGGAAAATCATGAATCTCTTACTTAATTGGAACTTCTGAATGAGATGATGCTTATTGCGCTCACTTGACACCGATCGATGAGAACACCGAGTGATTACTTTCGTCGTCTCGATGTGAAATCCACAAACACCCAATCAGATTCAGCTCACCCCATTCATATTAGAACTCCGGATGCTGTTCTGACACTAGTTCCCCTCACAAAAATACCCTTCCCTATTCTCAAAAGTGGATGTTTCTGCGAGCGGCATGGGAATTGTTCCCGCTACTCGGGTAAGGTCATTTCTCATGAGTTCCTCCCACTGTTTGGAGTAGTCTGTGCGACACAATTTCCACTTTGTAGGAAGACCACTCAAAATAACTTTGTCCTTATATGATACTCTCGATTTTCCCCCTTATCCTTATGCTCTGATACTCGGTTATGCCTTGAATGAGGTGAATGCTGATGTTGAATGCAGACTCCGCTCGCATGTGGTGAATGGAAGGAAGAGGAGGTATAAGCCTGAGCATGTTTACCCTTTCACTGCGATAGGAACATTCTTCTGTCATGTCCGGAATCGTCAGAAGGTCTTCCATCTAATCCATGCGTAGCTCTCGTAAATTGGATCGAGGGAGCCTCGATCCGATATTAGCTCGAGATTTTCTGGAAGACCCTGACGCCACCCCTGAGATTCACCGGACTTCAGTGGCAATAACGAGCACCTTTCTTCTTGTCTCTGTTCAGGACCAGCCAAGGAAACGGTCGTGAAGATCAGGCGTTCCTGCATGCCAGGTATACACCTCCTCCCGCGGTAAGTACCTGATCCCACCGATTCACGGTATCCCGAGAACTCTCCCCTTACAACTTTCCCCCTGAATGTGGGGTGTGTACTTTACAACTTGCACTCCGGTGGGTCACGGAAGGTGGGTGTGAGAGAGGTCGCGTGAAAGGAGCGGTATTTCCCGGGAATTCGTTGGAACGCGTCTTCCCTCGAGATTACTGGAGGAGGAGCATATTCCCGGTGACGAGGAAAAGCCGCCGAGTAAGCTCTCGAATTGAGGACCGTGAATGGAGGAGACGATTCGCTTCTGCGAGCGCTATCATCAGTTCGGGCCCTGTTTGTCTCTGTTTGTTAACGTTCATCGATCGGCGACGATACGAACGAATGAAATAAGCAGAGGACCCCGGAGCTCGAAGAGAGGATGGAACTCGAAAAATGATTCCCTGTGCGCGAGGAATGGATCCGTGCTGATGACGAATATCGGGATTTTATAAAGCTGAGAATCGGGCGGTTAATTTCCCGCTCCATGAGACACTTTCGATCAGAAGTCACGGACCTTGATGCCACGCGGTAACTCATGTTTTGAGTCCGTCGCGGCCGGCCTTGAGTTGACTCGTTTTGATCTTGGTTATTGCTGTGAGCTTTCCCCTCCCCTACTTCGTATATGTAGATTGAGAGTGAGGAAGGTTTGTGGTCACTCCGAGCGGAAGTTAGTTTCTAATGGTTCTTCATCCTTAATTTCTTGCTTTCTTCTACACACCTTCACGTCGTCTGGCCACCACTCTACACACACAGCTCTACATGTGAAGAGATATAGGAATCCGGCGTCCCGGCAGAAGAAAAGTATGTGTTCGTCCTATCGGAAACCGATGTCTGTGCCAGAATTGTAGAACACCGCTATCCACTGTGGGCGTGCATCGACTGGCTGTGCTTATTTGTCCCTCGTTTGCTGCTGCTGAACATGTTTCTCGAGCCGCTCTCACCGCCAATGAGCCTTTTTCGCGTCGCAAGCGAGGAATCGATGCGGAAGAGAAGGTGGCGGGTGCGATGAAAACAATCGCATCAATCCTGATCATCATCGTCCCCATGATCGCCACCCCTTTTGTTCGTCCCGTGGACTCGTTCTGTTTTCCCCTTTACGAATCCCTGAATTATTCCTCTCGATGTGCATGCTGAACAGCCCATTGTATCTCCTTCGTTGCGAAAAGAATCCGCTGATCAGCTGAATGTTGGCCGATGATACAACATGCACAATGAAGGGCAATACCGTAGAAGAGCCTTATCTTGTATGCTCAGTGGCCTTGCCATCATTCATCCATGGAGAGGGCTGTCGAGTTTTGCAATTATTGGAAAATGTGCAGGAACGCCTGGACACCAGCACGAACACTCGTCTGATGCTCACCTTACGTGTCCCCCTCAAGCTCCCCCACAAGACCGTTGCATATGTAGTCTCGAGGCGTGAATTTCGGGAGGGAGTCCGATTCCCCAGATACCCTGGAGAAATCGACCCCGAGAGCATCGTATTTTCTGAATACCGGGAACGCCGCGCTAGAAACCCTGACCCTCCTCCGAGCTGTGTGGGAGTGCGACTCTTTCTGTTTCGATCTCGACCAGCGATTTCTTGACCGAATGACATTTCAACTTACGATTCCAAAAGGATCTGATCTTGGACTTCTGTGCCTGTCTTTCTGTGCGGGGCTGTCCGTTCACGATTGGCTCTTTGAGAAGATCACAATCACTTGCCGCAGAAATCTCAAGCTGAGTTTGAGCTGTTCTCTCCGTGATTGACGTACATTTTTTTCAAATCCGTATCCCTACCTGAAGAACCCATTACGCAATCGGATCCCTGAGAGGGAGCCATCTCATTCCGATTATTTCGAATGCTTGGGCCAATCAACTTTTAGGCATGATTCTGAGTTTGCAGAAGCAAAATGAACTTATGTAGTGACCACAAACCGTAGATTTGTAGAGCCTTCACATTGATGTATTCATCAGATGAGACTTCGAACGTTCGAAATCCCCTGACTCGAATGAGTGCGCTCTATGAAAAGCTTTAGACAATCAATTTGAGGAGAACTCTAATTTGCGCTTTGCTTCCATTATTTGATTTTGTATGATATCAACGCATGCATTTTTCTCCCCAGTACGAGCACTTGACTGGCAGCACTCGGCAATTCCACGTGGATTTACCCTCCGCCCCGATGTACGCTTGAGGTGCGAGAGGGTAAGCTCGTGTAGACGTAATGACAGTAGACGCACTGATCATCTGCGCTGAGCTTTAGTGAGAATCCCCGCCTAATACGTTGTAAGTTACTATGAGTTCATCATTCCTATCCATGATTCCTTCCCTAGGTTGAGAAAAGCTCGTTCATCGCTGGGGTCGAAAAACCCTGTTTTCCATTTGTTCATCGATCAATTGAATCCCGTCTGATTTCTATTCTCATTGATTCCCATCTTATAATGAATCATATCGCCCTGTACTCTCCGGAATGGATCTATTCCGTCCCCGTTATCTATTGTATCGTTCAGAACTCCTGAGAAAGAAACAGTTTTCGACCCTTTGCCTGTGCCCCCTTGTTCTGCGACCGAAAATTCATGATCAGTATCTACTATCATTTCACATCCATGTGATCATCCCTGGAGCTCATGAGAACCTGGAGAGCGATTAGAATTCTAGATCATATCTCTGCGAAAGTATCGACGGATTCCCCGAAAATCCTGACGATGCGCCTCCACCTTGACGAAGCTAATCCGATTTTCTCGCTTACAGCGGCATCATGTCAATACATCAGATGGAGATCTCACTTGCGCAACCAAATTCTAAGGAGTGGTAGACGACAATACTTCCTCAGCAATCATGTTCTTCACACCTGAACGCAACCACTCATATATGTATATGTATATAAATGGTGTATCTATATATATGTATATGGAAAATGAGGCATAGAACATTCCTCCGAGGACACAAGTGGTGAAATCTTCACTGATACGTGATGAGCAGTTTAGCCGAGCGCCGTCCCCAACGCCGATAAGCGTCCGCCGCCTCCTGCACAGATACTGTATTGCTTACCATAATTATTTTTCTATTTGACATTAATTTCCATCGGCGCAATCGTTGGAACAGGCAGATTTAGAAGCGACGAAAGGCATAGATAGGTTGTACGCTGGGTTTATGTACACGTTGTGTCAGCCCTGATGTCGCCGAGCAGGTTCCAGCAGTTGACGAGATTGTTACGTGTAGATAATAAATTATTCGGAGAGGACTGAACGCGAGGCTTTTTCAGCGCGAATTCTGCCCCTCTCCGAAGCTTCTAGACAAGAAGGAGGCGCTGTGACGCTGGCGATCGTGAACGTGAAAAGAGTGCGGGTTTGATCGACGTCTTCAAATTTGAATCGAATTTAATACGTCAAGGCTGCGTCGCAGCATCCGGCATCCAGAACATCCGCCTGGGAGCATTCGAGAGTGTAGCTTCCAAGTGTTCAACACACGAGCATGTCATACACGCTCCGAGAAACGAATCGAGCATCGATGTCGTGACAAAGACGCGGAAACTATCGATGACAATGATCTTGGAAAATCCCTTCAAGTGTATTACTGACCATGTAGATAGTGACGAGTGCCCTTACCTCCCTCGTTCGGGGGAATCACTCGATGAAGAACGTGTTGAGCGATTGAATTAGCTGCGTGACGAACCCCGATTCTGACACCTTTCGACAGTATTATCTCTAGCTACCGCGAGCAGCCTCCTCTATGGCTGACGCCGATCCACCCGTTTCTCATTCTCTTGAGCCCTACTCGCGTGGCACCGACTGAGTTATTCCGTGACCAATTTATGCAAACAAAGAAATGAACAAAAACGAGTCCTTTCGACCGACTTTAGCCTGACGGAGCAAGGTGCTGGCGTTACTTCGATCAGCTGAGTTGCAAACGTGCACATGATGAATTAGGTGCCAACAAGCCAAACAAAAAGTAAAGATACAAACAAACAAACAAACAAACTTACACATTTTCCTGAATTACCTGAGTGAGACACAGCTCCTTCACTTCCCGTGAGTCCTCATATGAACAAATCTCCTTTTGAGCCTCGTCTCCTATAGCATGGAATCAGCGTCAATATTCAGAATATAGACGGATCGAGAAGCGTAAAGGAACTTGACCCACAACTACATACAAACTTTCCACTTTTCTCAACGACAATGTTTTTCTGCGGCTTTAAACCTGTTCGACATCAGTCATTGTTTCACTCTGATTGATCGTCATGCGTGAATTGATTATATTCGAAGAAAACCCGATCGCGAGTCAGAATGGATATCTGCTGCCATATTCACATTTATTCGAGAATTTTATGCGATCCCATCTGGGACCGAGGAACCCCCACAGAAAGTCACATGCCCGTGCCGCCGAAAGTATCATTCGTTGCTGTGTGATGGACACTCGAAGCATCGAGTTCCTGTGGAGAGAATCAGACACAAATCTCACTGAGGCCCACTCAATATCTTCGAGTAGCGAATTCGAATAGCAGTCTCATACACTAGTCTCAAAACTCAAGGTTAGTCCTAGGCGGACTCTCAATAATTCCGAGATTTAAAAGGATCGCAAGAGGTTCGACGTCGGAGTCCTCAGAGGACCGCTGTTCATTTTTCTTGAGACTTTCTGAATTAGAGTGATTACGTCCGAGAAGCCGGCGTGTCGTTGATGATCACGATTGAGCCCTCTTGGTACTCCTTTGTGAGCTATCCCAGATGAATCATAGAGGACACGACTTCATCCTTTCATCAATGATGACCCTTGAGTTACACCTCGTAATCGACCGTTTGATTGATTGATGGATTGATTGATTGATACTATGAAGCCTCTTGGCGGCGCGACTTATCTGCGCACAAAAATGCTCAAATCTCTGTACGATAGCTGCAGAAAATGTAGGTTTATTATTCCACACATGTAGTCGCTGGACCCATAGCCACGCCATACGATCACGATGCTACTCAAATAATTAAGCAGACAATACATGCATTGAAACAGACAAACAAACAACCTACCAAACCAACCAAACAAACAAACCAAGCTAGATAGATACAGGAGCACAATTATCTGTCACGGTAATTGGGCGAGCCGATATAAATGGAGATACAATACCAAACCAAGCCCTCTCATCCGGGGATTTCTCCACAAACATGTCACCTACGTAACGGACGATCGTCTGCGATTTTGCAAGATGCGGTCTCACACTTGGTCAATCGGAAGCTGCTCATGTTTCGGAGGAAAACTCTATATGGTGAGAGGAAATCCCTGCAATATCCCTTATATTTTAATTCTGATTTCTCGGACACTGAGCCTCGACGCGGATAGAGACGAAACAAAGTTCCACCATGTGTGAAACTGTGAGAGCGGAAGCCTGAAGCATTGTGAACGTTCTCCGATTTTTGAAAGTATCGACCACACGATGCATCGTCGTGGTCCGAGTGTGTAGAGACGTTGCGATGCAACGAGTTTCGATGGAGACATGAGAAAGTATTCGAGAGGAATCCCCTCTCATTCAAGAACCACCATGGATAGATGTCCAGTTGTCCGTCAAACGATTGATTTACTGAAGAAGCGATGGAACTCGGGAGAGCTGGACATGATGGAGGAGATCCTCGATTCAATATTCATTGAGAAGCAATTTAAGTGTAAGTCGCATGAACTCGGCGTTCGAGAATCGACTTTTGGAGTAGATTTCCAGCAGTTGCGACTGCGGTTGCTATACTTTATCAGATACATTACAACTCTATGAAGTAATTATTATACCCGTGAGAGAAGTCCCTTCAGACACCTTATAGTTGACAGGAGCGATTCAATTGATTCCTCGGAAGGAAAACGTCTTTATCATTTTCATCCTCGTGACCCGTTCTCGTGCTGCCTTACCCACGAAAAGTACCCCTCAAGGCAGCGGATAGATGATGATGATGTTTTATGGATGAAGTCGATGATTCCCAGAATCATGGACGCTGATCATTCCATGATTGATGATGGATTTGAGTTGTATCACGAAGAGAACAAGTTAAATGAAGGGAGAAACAAAGAGAGGAGGCGGTTTTTACTCAAACGACAATGAAACTCATGCAGAATCGACGCCGAAACAACATACATATATGCTGTAAGGCGAGTGGTCGTCGCGGCACGCGACTGCGACGTCGGTGTACCGCTCGCGGTGTTTTTCACTTCACCGTGTATCCATGACTGAACAGTTTCTCGAAACAGCCTGCAGCCCCCAGGTGTTCACATCCCTCCATGGTGCCTGCGACGTCGTGAGGTCCGGCACGGCAATCGAACTCAAACTCTGTATTCTGTATGCGACGAAGTGATGATCTCTGAATAAAACGATTCGCTTCAAAACACATGCAACGGCGAGGTTTCTGAACGTGCATTAGGGTGGATCGAGGCCGACGTATCTTCCACAGGAGGGTATTTCCCGGGGACAGGGCTTCGAGAGCGCTCCCACGAGCAGAGTGCACGAGTGTGCACAATCATGGAAGGAACTAGAAGCCGGGAAAGTGGCTATGAAGCCGAGGGCTCCGCAGCAGCGGGACTCAGCATTCTGTGGGGAGCGGGAAAGTATGATCGATCCGAGAACAGTGATGGCTGATGGCTTGTCAGGTGATCTTTCAGAGGACGAAGGGATAGCTTCGGTGCAGCGGGAGAGAAGCGAACAAGCGCTCCGCGCCAATCCTTATATCGCTGTATCTACAGGCATTCACAGGAATCTCCATGTGAGAGACTTCGGCGCATAATTCCAAGTCGGCCGGTGGGAATGCCGTCGGAACATTATGCCGAGATCATTTGAGTTTGCGCATGTTTCGTCGGTTTTTCACCCGTGAGATTCTAAGGGATCGAGTGTCCAATTGGACTATTCCTTTTCGGTTATCGCCAGATCTACGATCCGAATAGAAATGTCACGGACAGGAATCTAAAGCAAAGCTCCTCCTTAGCATCTGCTCTTCGAGGACAACACATAGTTTTTTTCATTTAATGTTAATTTTCCTTCAATGGGTTCACTACTGAGAGGAAGAGTCGATCAAGTTGGATGAGGTCATCCGAGGCATTTTCCCTTCTATCTATCTATCTATCTATCTATCTATCTGGTAGAAAGAAGTTTCTTTTCTTTCGGTAAGTACTCCGTAAGAGAGATACGAAAAATCGAAAGAAGATCACTTTGCACTTGCACTTTGTGGCGTCATCTCGCATCCGATGAGCCTATTCAGAAACGGTATTAGGGGAGAGAGAGCGTCGGAACGTCGCGATCGGACAGACGGACACAGCGCTTTTATTATACAGGGGGATCTCAGAAAATTCTTCCAGACCATTTCCATCAGAGTGGGGGGAGGCAAGCAGTTAAGATTTCTCTGACGAACGAGTTTGGGTTTCGCGAAAATCGAACTCGCCATGCATCCGGCCATGAGGAGACTGGGCGACGCTCTCCATCGTTCAGGAATCGTGAATGAGATGGGCATTCCCTTCCTCAGCCGCTTGATTGCCTTAATCGTTGAGAAAAATTCCACCATCCTCTATCCCAAAGTCGAACATCGCGGTTCCTGGCTGCTGGGCCCAGATAGTCCAATGGAAAGCGCGCGGCCTTCTATCCTGGCAGCGTGGATGGTTCCACAGAGTCGTTCCATGCTGTACCCGAGCACTAAATAAATGGACTGAGTCACCAAAATAAGAGGAAAACTAAGGTCGGACCTCAGATGTTCAGGCCGGCGAAGAACTCCCAGCATCAGTAGAGCAAAAGAGACCTGTGGCTCTTCGCGATGGAAGGACGACACTCCGGGAACTCGTTGAATCGTCTGCGGAGGCAGCGGCGCGCCTTTATTGGCCTTTTATTTTCGGTATCATTATGAAATATGTTGGGTACATCAGAGCGGTAAAGCGTCAACACTAGAACACTAAGTTGCTACAGAAAATGGAGGAACTACAGCGACCGTGTGGATCCCGTTTGGCCAGAACTCATGGTCGCGACCCGCTGACCGAGGAAAATAACAGTCCGATAGAATCGTTTATCGAGAATGAGAGTGAAATTTACATGCTAAGCATCATGCGAGGTGAAAAAAAATCACTATAAGATGAAATTCGAGCCGAACAATATAAGCAGAAGAGGAGGTACCTGCTATCGAGTCGAGATAGCCCATCCCCCGCGATGGCAGTTTCCGGGAGCCGCAGTGCGACCGTCGAAGGTCCCAGAGGTTACGATCCAAAACTTCTGGTGTGCGTTTCAAGCATCGACCGATCCTCATTTTCGTCAATCTGCGGTCCTTCGACGGACAGCTTTCCGCGTTCGCCTGTCTTTGTTTTCTGGTTCGTCTTCTACAATCTAGTCTTCAGTTGATAATTCGGTCGTCACCAACGACAGCTTTGAGAAAATCGACCACTCGTTATGATTCAGAGCTAGACAAATTGCCCTTGAGGCAGGTCATTACCAACTGGATCTGCGAACATTGCATGGGATGAGCTTGTTCCGTGTTCTGCGGAGGGAGTCGGGAAATTTCTAATGGAGTTCGCCTTCGGAGTCCTGGCTGTCGCCTGAGCGTGGCCTCGGTCAGATGGCTGGTGGAGCTATACATGGCTCGGACCGAGTCAATGTCTCGAGTCGATATTGTCTGACTTCCATGGTACTTCCCTGCGCCGATTCCAGATTTTGCTCGAGTGTCGACCAAAGCTCGCTTGATCCAGAGAGAGCTCCTAGAAGTTCATGGAAGCGTTCCCGAAATCGAAAATCGGGAACAATATAGCGAGAGGGCAAAGCACAAGCAGGAGAGAAGTCCTAGTTCTTGAGAGAAGGATCAAACCAGAAGCAGGCCGCGAGCGAATTTTGCGCTTCGAGCACCCATCTATGGACCGGGACGGGCCCCGATGTGTACAAATCTTCAATGAAATAATGAGAAGAATAAATAAGCGACAGGAAGGTGATCTTAAGCTCACAGAGGGGAGTTCCTGAAATGTCGCAAACGATCAATCCGAGTCCAGCGAAGCTCATACCGATGGGCATCGCGACAAGCGTTAACACTCATTCGAAGACGACCATGCTTCGGTGGGGCGCCTGAGCGTTGACCTGGACGTTTTGCACTCGTTCGAGTTTTATGAAAGCTTTAGGCAGATAGCTCTTCAGATCGGATTCTCGGTATTTGTAGTAGGCCTTGTTCACAGGATTCAATCTAGCGAAAGGATTGTTGGGGAGACTAATCAGCGTTCGCTCTTTCGCCAGTTCACCTCGAATGGCGGTTTTGTCTTTCTTCTTCTGTAGCTTGTAAACGAGCGGTATATGGAGCTGGGCATTCCCTTTGACGTAGCCATGGTTGGAGAATTCAGGGTGATCCGGAAGCGGGACCTTTTGGGGAAAGTTGCACCGGTCGTAATTCACTTCCACGTATTTTAGTTTCTGTGACATCAATTTCCTACCGTCTGAGACGAATTAAACGATTTAATCCACTTACGAGCAAGGTGGTAATCGGTCTAGCGAGCACTTCTGCCCGTTCTGGACGATTTTGGAAAGTTCTCGCAGAAAATTACTCGTCTTCCCACGAAGAATTTGACAAACTAACAGCCTTGCCCTCATCGTCAAAAGCTGCGTTTGCTATTTCCTGCTCGAGGCGTCTCAGATTCTATCTAATTGACTTAACCTACCTGCATGAGAATTGTCGGAGCATCAGGCATGAATCCTTGCCCAGTGAGAGTTTCTCTCGGCTCTGCAGGTGTCGGCCCGTCCGCAGCGTGCACCTCGGCCCTCCTCGGAATGCTAGGAGGCGGAGCCATCCTCGCTCCGAACTCCGGTCTGACTGTGGCGGTCGCCGCGTGGGTAACGCAGTCCGTTGTTTGCTGAGGGGAGCTGGTTGTGATCTCGATTGCTCCATCCCGATCGGATTTCTTCCCCTCATCTGGGCGGGATTCCTTCTGAACACTCTGATATATCTCGGTGTCATCAGGGCGGTTTTGCGAAGAGAAAACCAGAACTTGACCACTGACAACTTTCGGTGACATCGGGAGCAACGAGCCGGGAGCTCCAAGAGGACCTTCCGCATATTCAGGACTGAAACGGCTCGTTGGCGTCTGTATCACCCCACTCTCATCCGCAGAAGCCAGCGAGGAAGTTTGCTTCGACACAATGGTGCTGTAGAAGCCCGTCGGAGACGCGGTCCTGTCGGTGGAGTCCGGACCGGCAGCGGACTTCGAATCCGCTGCGGGATGCATGCGCGCGGATGAGTTCGAATGAATTTTCGCGAGGAGATCAGAGGTTAAGCTCATGGAGAGCGGCGCGTACCGCGCACCGCCGACGGCCAGAATTATCTTCGAGAAGGAATTTGATTGGGGCTGCTTGGGGAACAGACTGAAATGTTGCAGAGTTCCTTTGTTGAGCGAAGATGGAATCAGGGTCCTATAGCTCCCGTCGGGACCCCGGCTCGAGCTCACGGGACGGTACGTGGTCGTGCTCTGAGGCAAAAAACTGTATTGCGCGACTTCTGGCCGATGCGGGTCAGTCGGTGGTTCAAGGGTCGTGAGTCGCACTTTTGGAATTCGTGACGGTTTGTTTGGTTCGGATGTGGCCAGGGGATCCGGTGATCCATCATCCAAACTAGCAGAACCACTCAGAGGGTTAGGAGTTGTCGTGCGAGGTTCCCGGCTCTTGCCTCGTTTCGGAACGAGCGCTTCTCTTGACACGGGAACTTCTTCTCTATACGGCGAGCTGGTCGCATGCTCAAAACGTTCGAAAGGATTCCGGCGAGTGCCAGGCTTCACGGTCGATCCAAGCGAGAAATACGATGACGAAACTTGATAACTGGTGGGAGCTTGCTCGGAGAAAGCGGGGAGCTTATCGTGATTCCGTTGTTTCGAATCGGATGATCGAGCGTGGGAAGAGTCTCCCCTTGAGCTCGCGGCCGGTCGTTGAGGGGGGTCATCGTGGAAGAATTGTTTGTCACTCGTCGAAAGTCTGGGGATTTCCACATGGGTCGGGGGAACTCCGAAACTTGAGAAATCGGTGTTTTCCTGGAGGTCGGGTCGAGGAGACGTCTCCGCGACAGGGAGTCTGACCGGTTCGAGTTTCGACTTCTTCTTTCGTCGCTTACGCTTGGTGCAATTGCGTTTGACGTTGGTTGCGATCTCCATGTGCAGCGTTGGTTTCCGAGAACTGTCGAGGTCCTCTCCGAGAAGATCGAGGAACAACTCCGGGGGTGGTAGCGCATCGGCGCGGATGTCCCGCTTTTCGAGGGAAACTGTGCGCGGTGCTCCCGAAACCTTGTAGTTGTCGCTGTCATCTCCGAGCCCTTCGTCTTCGAAAGCCTTCATCAGAGCTGAAGACAAGACTTTCGACTCGTTCGAGTCACCTAGGTAACGACCCACTACGCCCTGGATGACGTCTTTCAATTGAGCTTCATCTGCCCTCAAGTCCGGGGGAGCGGCAGCTAGCACCGAAGCCGCACACAGCGCTGTCAAAAGCAACCGCATCCTTCGTACCGAAGATTTCCCCCGTACAAAGTCGATCACGCTCCAATCGATTCACACGCACAAGCAGATGTTCATGTCCACGCGAACGTTTAGCTCTATACCTCCGTCGGATGAAGTTCTTGATCCAGACTGAGATCTGGCAACACTTGATGGTCTTTTAAGCCCAGCAGAGGAAAGAAGGTTTGAGCTGTAGTAGATGGATGGAGGGATGAATGAATGAACGAACGAACGGATGAATGGGGAGGGGTAGCTCCAGAACGATGCGTGCGACCGACGCGCCGCTGAACAAACACAGAAGAATGTAAACTTTGGAGACGTGAATTCGCGGCTCACGTTAGCGGGTTTAAGGTTATGCGAAGACGCCGCATATCCTCTCGCATCATCTTTGAAATCCTTCACTGTTCAAAATGTTGGCCCGTAAACAACAACTCGCCAACAAACCCCTGTAAGACAGACAGCCGGTCAGTCACTCACTCGCTCACTCAGTCCGCTCAGATATATAGATGGACAGGTGAACAGATAGATGAACAGACAAAAATTGACTCCCACGGAGACGCTCGTGTCCAGAGGCCGATAAATCAAGCGTGAAGGCCTTCAAAAAGCGTTAGCTGCCGCAGAAGTTGAAGTTGGGACAAGTAGAAACTTTTTTTGTTTCGTAAACTTTCGACAATCGGAACAACGAGGGAACCTGAAATAAAAAATGAAATGAGCGAAGATGAGCGAGAGATACAGCCGCGGTCAGAGCTCCGTACAGAAAACGAGGAGTAGTTTCCTGAGAGGTGGGAATCACTTTCTGTATTTTAACGTCCCGGTCGGTCGGAGCGTGAGTCTTTTCGTCTCATGATTATCAACCGTTGAATACACGGCAACTCACTCACGGAAAAGGCCGCTAGGTAAGCGATGCCTCGCTCAGAAGCGAAGTATCCTGCGACCGAAAAAATCCACCGCATGCATCGCGTTCGCAGCGAGTCCGCGGTCGAAATTTTGATCGCGGAGGTACGCAGGATAGCTCTACCCAGGGATGTTCCGGAAATCGGGTGAAGATTTCGGTCAGGAAAATTATCCGCGAGCTATAATTGGACATGATATCGAATCGAGGGACGGGAGAGCAGGAGAACTCCAAAAAGTAGAACAGACCGATATTTCGGCCCTACCAGCAGAAGCAACGAAGTTCTTCGCAGCAGGAATGGGGAGTGGATCGAAGGAGAACGAGATTCCCCGTGGGGCACAATGTGTTGTGCGGGGACATCTCACGCAAACGATCACAGCAATAAAAGGTTAAAGCACACCTAGCGGTGTCGATGATCCCAATGGAGTCATACCTGATGGCCGTCACAATGTCGCAGCTGCACAGATTAACCTCGCGAACGCGGATACGAAGTCCTACGCACAGTACATTCTCTCGGCGAAAATCTGCGAAAACATTAGCCGGCGACGTCGACAACGATGAGCGGGAGCAGCAAGATCGGTGTCAGATATGTGAACGAGCGTGCCGGCGGGCGCATCACTAAATGGAACAACAATAACGGCTACGACTCGAGCGTCACGATTGTGTCGCTGCCGTGTTTCACTTTCAGTTTTGCTCGGACAGGGTGAGTATTTGTTTCATAGACTTGACCGCAGGCGTCATTAACCTCACATGCCAGGATGTGGGCGGCATTCGGTCGATACTCTCTTCCCTCTCACCCCTGAAAAATTGGTTCCGGACTCGCTCTGGTAGTGACGTAGCGGCTTCAGCGAATTAATCGTGAGGTCTCCGACCAGAGTCGCATCTTCGTTTTTGGAGCACCGATCCTCGCGCGATCGTTCCTCGGAGAGATTTCCTCTTCCGAATGGCCACGACTTCGATTGCTTGCTGAACGGATGCTTCAACAGGTCGAATCAAAGTTCCGTTCGAGGCTTCCCCGATTACCAGATACCAGCGGCAGAAAAAAAACAGACGAGGGGCCTTCAGAGAGGGTGTGAAAACCATATGTTCCGGGGTGACTTGATTATTGAGAGTGAAGATGGAAAAGAGCGGGGAATCCGATGTCCTTGTTATGTTGATTGGACTTGGGGGAATGTTTTCGACAAAGCTTCCGGAAAACATTCAATTTCTACTTCATGTTTATTGTGAGCCGGGTGACACTCGTCGCGGGCTTGTGCGGAAAAGACTGGAAGCATGCGACACTATCCGGTCGTGATTCGCTCATTCATAAGCGAGAATTCACGACACAGTGTAAGTCTATTTTTTCTCTCGCTTCGTCTCCGTGATATCAAGGCTCAGTCAGTCAGTCAGCCCGTCCGTCAGAAATTCGGTCCATCATTAGACGTCCTTCATACGATAATCTACGACAGAAATTCCGCTGGAGAAGCGAGAGAACTGTGACTATAACTATTCCGAGATAAAACTCGCGGACATTTTGCGTCTGAATCATGCCATCCCGATGTGATGACACCACGATTCTCGATAAGGGATCCATGTCGTAGCTGCGGCATATAGCTCGTCAGATTGAGCCATGATCGCATGAAGTTTCCCATCAAGAGCTTCACCGCCAGAGAAAGTTAGTTCGCTTCGGGAGAAACCTATCGACCGCGCGCTTGTGGTCCGACACCAAACTACGACCATTTGCACCCGGTGCTGAATCATTAGCACCAATGACAATAAGTTCAGTTGAAATATTAGTTGCCGAAGACTCTCACCAGCTCCGGGAATCGATGGTGCTTCCCCGCCGAAAATCCAATTCAACGATCTATGCATCACAATGCAATTTAGCTCCAGAAGAAAAAGCCGTCGCCTGCCCTCTCTTCAGATCCTTGATGTCATCGTTTCCCGGGACTGCGGTGGGAGAAAAATGACCACTCAGCTGCCATGTAACCTTAGATATAACTCTTGCGTCCCTTCGCCACGACGACGGTGCGAAGTAATGTACCTCGAAATCTTCATTGAATACCGCTCGAGATCTGGGTGCTTTGCGATCTATTTCTCGATACGATAAACATGTCTATCGGGCCGAAAGAGTCGAATCGTTATTTTCAGAAGGGAAGAGACGAAGTACAGTCCGAAATTCCATTTGACCGAAGCTCAAATCAGAAGCATCACGAGCAGCCTATCGGCGCGTTGACTCCGAAGGCTGACAGAACCGATATCGCTTGCGTAAAAATGAAGCGCTAAGACAACGGTACGAGACGTGTTATGTTTCTAAGCTTATGAAGGGTAGTGCGAGCACTAATACCCTGTGGCCTGGCACTCACCTTTGTCTTTCGGCGGCTTTTTTCACCGCTTCTTCCATGGGATTTCTTTCAGAGGCTGTCGGAATGAGAAAACTTCTATCCCGCTAAAGACAATCCGACAGTCGATTTGCTTCATCGCAAAATTGACCTGGCATTGCGGAATTCCACAGACAAACGCTCGGCATCCCACTAACGGTAATGGTCGCTGTCGAAGTTTCCATGTCGCTTTTATTTTTCCTGATTCCAAGTGCCTGGTTCCTCGATATCGTGGATCGTAGTCCGTGGAACAGAAGTCAAGACAAGCTAATTCAATGATCACGCTCTGCGGCGACGAGGGTAACCCTCAGGATTCTGACGAGCGATATCGGAAAACAAAGAAATGGTAAAATAATTGCCGCAGTAATTGTTGATCTAGGATCAGAAGCTCAGAATCCGGATCCGGGTTCGACCTTGATCCCGTCCTCGCATGGGCATCAAAATGAAGTACAACAACGTGATGACACTCATCGTGGGAGAACTCTTTCTCGAAAGGTCAGTCGAAAGCATGAGTGAACGCCGCGGATCGATCCGGTCCCGAGTACTTTTCCCTCAGTCCTCGTTCTTCTTTTTCCGCTCTCAAGTTCCGCCGGATACGCGCTTGTTCCAACGTCGCGTCGGTTTCCTTATCCAGCGATAGATTCAGAGACTCTGACCTCTTTCGGTGCGGGATGAAATTCGATGTGCAACCTTGTATCATTTGTCATGTTTCGTGCTCGTACGGCGAGATAAGGCCCGCTGCTGGGACAACCTCATGTTAGGGATGCCCGAATGGGGGATGCTGCCGTTGGATGGGGGGCATACTACTCATTTCTGATGAATATTTGCCATGCAACATTGAGCTCCGGATGAAAGGCTGTTGCAGGAAGTTCATCTCCTCCAGCATACGCGGAAGAAACGAAATATCAAGAGGGGAACGACATGTTCCGGGATTCAATATTGAGGAGAAAATTCGAGGAGGCGGTGAGGCTACCTTCGGTTGCCCAGATGGCCCCATTGCACCAAGAGAACCACGAACCTACGCCCGCTCCTTCCAACGTACTGCAGCAAATAATCCCTTAATGGTCCACACGATCTGATGCTCGTGCCGCTAATGTTCCGGTCGGAGCAAGGAAGTTGTTTGAAGGTGAATTTCATTGTTTCCTTCCGGAGGTCTCATTCAGCAAGGAAAGTTGAGCAATGATTCTGAGCCATATTCCTCTTTTCCAGACTCAAATCACACGAGCCATGAGCTCTGAACAAAAAGTCACAGTCTCGTGTGACTTCTTCAATCCTCCCGCGCAAGTATTCGCCGCGCCGCGAATACACGAATTGAGCAATCTGTAGTAATTGTCAATGACTACGACCTGCAGCGACGTTTCCAATTTTGTCAATTCTTCCCTGAACGATTCCCTGAGTCTCCTCTCAGGGGATAAAGTCTCGTCCGACCTGCACTCTTCTCTAGATGAAAATCGTGGAGAATGAGGCATCGTCTCGATGACATTCGACGCGAAGCTCTGGGCTTATTTCTGTTCCATGAATTTCCAGCTCTGAAATGTAGAGGCATTGGACGTCACGATGCACCGTGAATATTATGGTGTGCGCAACCTCCTCTCCGATAGAGCCCCCCTGCGGGAGAACTAGAATCGGAACACGCAGAAGCTCGTGACCGAAAAGAGCCCGCTGGAGGAATCGAAACACTGAGGAGCTCCGCTAAAGCCACGAGTTTCACTACAACTCCAGCGTTCTGAACACTTTCCATCCTCCCCTGCCGCCATTGCGCTACTGCGTTTTTTTTTCAGCAAAAGCCCCTCTCTCATAGGAGCTCCCCTGTAGAGAAGCTAGATGAAATACTAATTCCACTCTAATAAGAGTCTCTCTAACAATAAGGGGTATAGAAGTTTAGGAAGCGCAGGGTTTTATGGAAATATTGACGGTCAGTGCTATTCCGGCTGTCCTGGCTGTCTCAGGATGGTTGATATCGCATCGACGCGTCGATCTTCGTAGTGACATATACACAGAGGAAGTAGAGCATCTGAGCGATTGGGATACAAATTATTCCAGGTTAGGCGTCAGATAGGTTCCGTGGTGTGCATATATTAGCGACGAAGAGAGATGAGCACCTATTCTCCAGCAGGTCGGAATTCAGAATTTCTTCGCTATTCGCCCGAGCGTATAGAAGTCTGAGCTTACAATCCGAGGCTTTACTTTGGGTCTCGGGACTTTCTACGGGAATGACCAAAATCATCCTTTCCGACGCCACCCGATGAATTACAATATTAACAAGGATAGAGCTAGAAACCGCTTCCCCGTTTGATGATTCAAGCATGAGCTCAAGGTACAGCTCACTCGAGACGCCGACAGTCGACGGAGTAGCTGACAGGGAGTCCGCGGCTTTCCTCGCGGCTCGTAGTCTTCACGGGGTGTGGTGAATGGCTGTCGAGGAGAAGATGTCGGAATAGATGATACCAGAAGCAAGGATTGCCCACTTCCATCGATCGGCTCGTGAGAAAATCACTGACATCTATCAAATCTGCTTCAGTTTTACCCGCTCGACAGCGAGATTGTAGTAATGAAGAGGTTCTCACCGAGGACCGATTATTCCTCTGTGAACGTGAAGTCGCTTTCATGACTTCGCGAGGAGCTTAGCTCCTCCATTCTTAGCGGAGGATCGGAAAAGACTTTTTCCACGCAACGCAAAGCAAAATCTGAGCACCGAATGGAATTTTATATACAAGAGGCTGATTTATTGATTCACCTCGAAAATGGATAGTCCGAAAACTATACAGCAGTCATTCTGTAAACCTTGTGCGTGCAAATCTCTGAACTCGGCATCAATGAATTGAAGAAGCATGGCTTTTGGACAAATTAACTCGTTGATGAGATCGAACGTGATGGGTCAGGCTCAATTCTTCAGCGGGTCTTTCCTGCCGTGACCTCATAAAACACAGAGCATATCATTGATTTTCTAGTCCGAAGAGAGAGCGTCAATACGAACATCTGAGTGCGGGTTTTTCATATTCCTACTAAATATTAACATTACGGCACGATTGCCTCCGTGCATTATAATAGCAAACGTAATAATTCACAAAAGAGGGGCTTTGTCGTCCAGATCTTTCCACATTTCATGCACAATATCTGGTCAGCCGGTAATTGTTCTCTCCTGCTCATAAAGTTTCTTGTCTTCTCCAAGGTATCTGGGACGATTACGACATCATTATTTTGTCTCGGAATCTTGAATAGATCATTGGGAAGAGGATGACTCTTGTCAATCGATTGAGGGACCGGCAAAGATTCAGAGCGAATCGAAGAGATCTCAGAAAGCAGCCTGATCATTCCTCCTCGGTTCCACGTATGTACACAACATGGAGAGTATTCTGCATTCCCGATCGATCACCAGGGTCTCCACATGTCTTCATCGTCTTCGTCGCATATGAAGAATCGGTGTTCACCATCGAAACTAAAACGGGGAGCCGAAGCTCCCCGATACACGTTTTTTGAATAGTTCACAGGTTCAGAAGGGGACAAGTGCATTTCGATATCGCTCGACGAGTGCGGCATCTCCTCCGATGAGGAGGATGACGAGCCTCTGCTGACTGAGGCCAGATATTTCTTCCGAGGGTTGGGGAATCCACCCGTTGTGCCAGGATGCGTCGGAGAGTATTTCTTCGAAAAGTCCAGCGGGGCATCGTCTTCGTCCCCACCGATGTCCATGTCGTGGTGCATGGAATCGGTATTGTTGTTATTGAGATCTTGGTTGAGTGGTGGAAGCATTCCCGGGAACGCGACTAGTTGAGCGGGGACGACCGGAGGAGATGACCGGTTCGAAGATGGAGAATTCGGTGGGAAAGGGGAGTAAGAAAGTGGGGGTGTCGAAACGCCGTGTCCGTTTTGTAGCTCGAGTTGACTCGTGGGGGAATGCACGGTGGGATAGCCTAGCGCCGGAGTTATCGGGGATGCGTCCAAGGTGTTGATACAAGACGAGAGGTGCCCTGAGAAAGAACATGAGACTTGAGATAGACGAAACCGTTGAACGGAAGTGGGACACCTGTCCCGGAAGGAGCATCTGGCATCGAAAGGCTCGCGGGAAAATCGCTTTTGAGGCTCCTCTCGATTCGAATTAGAACACGCGCAATTAGGCGGTGGCTCGAAATGCCCTGACGTGACTCCTATTCCCTCACCGATCAGTTTCTGTTTGACTTCGGGCTGTAGAACGTTGACATTATTCACAAAACGCGAGACTTCATTCGCGCATTCGGTGAAGCCCGCTCTGTACTTTCCGACGGATTCAGCCGGCGGCGGGGGTGTTTGGAGAGCTTGTCGATGGACGTTCTTGAGGTGGGTGACTGCCATTTCGAGAATGTCGGCTTTCTCCAATTTGTTGTGCCGGGCAGGCTGTGGAGTAGAGAATCGGATCACTGTTAGACCTTGACGGATCCGGACACGGGCTGGGGAAAACTCGCTCCTCGCCGGGAAGAACGTGTGATACCACTATGCGATAATTTGTCGATCACGACTTTAATCATTCAGTCTTCTGGACCGACGAATGAGGAATGATTCATAGAATTAAAGTCCGCTCGGAATGTTTCGAGATGACTGCCGGCTTAGCTCATAAATATCGGCTAAACGGACACGCCTCCGGACCCAATGCGGCTCAACTCGTTGGTACGGAGACCAATCGGCCAAAGACTTCGGAAGAGAAATCGAGCAATTATCTCAGGAAGAACGGCGGAACGCGTATCGGTGGGAGAAAATGATGAAATATAGGCAGGACCGACAGGGAGCGATCCAGAGAACAACTCGATCGGTGGTCACGAGTTGGCGTCGATCAGATTCGGACCGGTCGCTTTAGAGCGCACTCGGATGCTTTATCGCCACCTCGAGAACAAGTCATGCCTCGTAATCGAATCATAATCATGATTCATACGATCATCCTTCTTCTTCTTTTCCGGTGGAAATCCGTGTTCCGGCCAAATTAGGAGAACAATTAGACCGAACTTCGCGGCCAAAGTGGTTCATCACGACTGGAGCGGCGCAGCGTGCAAGCGGAGGAAGCAGCTTGCGATCCGACGGAGAGGAACGCGAACACCGAAGTAACATGGTTTGTGTGAGCGATTTTTCTGGCCTCAGTGTCGCCATCGATTGACATGTCACGAACGGCCCCGAGCTGCCGGAGGAGATAATCGCGTGCCTCGACGACTGCCCGCAATGCGAGCAGCAATGAAAACAAACCAGAAGAAAAGACAGGACCGAACCAGTTCCTAAAATGGTACAAATGCCTCGTGGACCCTCTTCGAGCCGAAGAACTCCACACGTTTCCGAGCTCTCATTCGCGATCGGATCCGTGGCTCGTTCGCTCCGTCTCCCCAAACCCGAAGGTGGAATGTTTGGGTGGCCTCAATGTAGCCTTTCGAGAGGATTCCGCCTCCTTTGGAGTCATCAAGCTCTGGGCCGCGCCACAGCGCGAGGAAGTACGCGCAGCGTTGGTCGAGATGACCACTCAGCCTTTCGCTCGATCAGATTCAAACTAGATAGGACAAATGCCATCTGCAGAAAAACAAGTCGGAAGGTACTACTCACGTCTTTGTTGAGTGCCTCGAGTATGAGATCCTTGAGTTCTTGTAGACATTGGTTGATTCGCGCGCGACGTCTCTTCTCCATCAGTGGTTTAGTCGCCTACAGAAGACGAAACGATTTCAAGTGAGACCTGATCAACTAAGTAAGACCTTTCTAAGCGGCTAAAGACTCTAATCTCTCCTCCTTCACGCTGAGAGATTCCGTTCAATCCCATTGAACATCGAATCATATCGCGAATAGAAACTGCTCCCTGCTTGGAAAGCCGACATTACGACAAAACACTTCCAAACGAAACCCTGATGTCGCATTCATCAAATCCCTGAGCAACCAGACGCCATCCATATTGTGAAGACCGCTATCTCTTGAGGAGCTACTTTCTCTATTGCCTCGGACAGTATGCACCTCGGAATCTCTTCTAAATCCTCGCCGAAGTCTCTTGGAAATGCTCCGATCGTGCACGTTCTCGAGCCTAACCCCGTGCCGTCACCGATGGTTTTCAGGGACGACTCGTACGTGAGCATCGAACAATGCACGCGACGTATCTCGAAAACGCTTCAGCGCCTCTCAGGGGATTGGCCATCCCGACTGAAACGCAAATAGTTCGAAGGCGCCTCTCAAAAGGTGATTATCATCTTGTGAAGTCGGTCTTTAGAGCAACACCTCGACCCATCGTCGGTCGAGCCACCGATCTACCGTTCGGTCGACGCGCCGAGCACTGGGCACACAAGGAGATGGGGCCTATACATGGTGAACCAGAGCCAATCATGTTTTGGGTGATTTTTCTTAGAATAATAATAGAGAGGTGAGAAAACACCACACCTTCTGTTTACTTTTCGCCAAGCCGTACCGTCCATTTACATAATTTCAGAGCGTTCCATCGATCTCGATCGGTTCCTGTGTGTATATACTTGTCTCGACACGGGCATGGAAGTATGAGCGATGCGATTCGAAGCGGACGAGGAAAAATCCAGTTTCTGTCCGTTGGACGTTCGCATTGAATGAGCGTTCCACTCGTGTGAGTGTTCGCCGCAGCAAGTGCACAGGTGCACAAAATCTCGGCGACAAAAGCGGATAACCGGCAGAGGCACCCGATTCCGAATCTGCGCACTAGGCTCCAAAGTTTCCCGAGGTTTTTCGATGATTAGGATTTCTTTGATGAGATGAATTTTGGAAAGCGCCGAAAATAGTGAAGGGACCCTGGCAATTGGCAATTGATTGCGGCAAGTAGAGGTCCTGCTTCAGCGACGCGATCACGACGCAGAGCGCTCGCGACGGGAGAGCTAGAGCACCAATCCGAGGAATTTGGCGCTTCAAGATCCATGGAATTACTTTCCCGGCATTCGTTAAAAGAGAAAGTGGTATACGGCGAAGATTCCGCCGTCGATTCTCGAGCATGGAACCTCGATCAATCGTTCCGAGCGAGCGCGGGAGCGGCGATTCCAAACGAGGTATCTAGATAAAGCACTTGTCCGCGTCGAGTATCCAAAAGAATTGATGCGGCGAGAACAAAATGTCGTCAGCATCGTATTAGCCGCTCTTTCCTCGGCACGGTGTGCCAATCCGCGAATTTCGTTGCCGCTGATTGACTGACAGCGGCGACCACATCGACGACGGCGGCGGCAGCCAGTAGCAGAAAACGGACAGTCATCACAACTTCTGGATTAGACGATTAGGGAGCCAGCAGCGGAACGCACAACGATTTCGGTAATCGGCGAAGACGTAAACTTAGGCCAACGTCGTTCCGCGTCCTTTGTCCACAGGGAAATTTGTCTCTGTGCGACGAGAACTTCTTCTTGGCACCTGTTGCGCGCCGAAGAAAGCGCGCGAGATCGACTTAAGAAGCTCCCGTATCGGGTCCTCTTGAATCTCCTATTCCTAAGAAGCAGCAGCTGAGCAAAAAGTTACCTTCCGGAGTTCTTGGGCCGGAGTCAACGGTTTCACATCGTGCTGACCATCCGACCCACGGCCGATCGTTGTGTGCATCGCGGTCTGGTCGTTGGAGGAATCGTCGTCGAACCGGCCGGAGCCGCACGTCAGATCCATGCTGTCTCCAGAGCGAACTGACACTTAAGCTCTGCTCGTCTAACGGGCTCTTGGGGTGTCTGCTCTAAGACCCTCTCCATTCTGGGGGTGAGGGCAGAGGGTCAGGGGATTCGGTGGGGGGTGAGAATTAGGGGCTCACAACTCCCCTGACCGTTTGTTCGTATTACATACACCTTGTGCCACAAAAAACCAGGAGGAAAGAGAAGTGGGGGCAGCTTGTCGACGCACAGTTTACGATCGCTGAGCACTTGTCCGTCGCTCCGGAGATCTCCCTGACTGACTGAGACCAGGACGAATCGACGAAAGCCGAATCGGGAAGATACACATGGAAGTAAAACGTTGAAATTAGCTCACGCTCAGAAATGCGGTGGCAATTGAGCCTACTCTCGTTTTCTATGTGGGCGCACCTGTGCCTAAGCGTATCGCGCAAACGAATCCCTCCACAAGCATAGAGTATTCTCAGATTGACTGAAAATTGGCGTCTGAAGTGGCGGTCGCCGGCGATGAGCGGAAACCGCTTTGTAAATAATCGTCATTTCCCGGTAGGACGAAGTTTCGAAAATTCTCCCGATCATTCGAGCTAGAGCAATCGAGGCGCGTGTCTCTGACACGGCCCTGAGCCCGACGCTTTTGACGCCGTTTTGACAAAAAGTATCGATTTAGTCTCGCCACTTAAGAGCCTAGAAAACTGTCCGTGTTCCATTCGATCGTTTCGGACATGGAATGACACCCGCAGGAGTCCGATTGCAGAGCGTTGGAACGCCTCACATCAGGACGAAAATACTTTCATGATCATATCCTTTCCTTTAGTCCGAGGCCAAAGCTTACCAGACCTGACACCGCACCCTGGGCAATTCTGAGGTCCCACACTCCGCCAGCCACACAGCGACTCGAGCTGGAAACTCTCTCGCAATACACGCGAGGCGATCGGAGAATCGCTCGAGTACCTTGTGACTGCAACGGCATAGGATTCGAGTCCTCGGGGTCCCTCCCGGAGCGAGATACTGCTACTTCCCCGTGGAACTGAATCGGCGCGTCGGAGGAGCCCGATGAGTCGAAACTCGGAAGAGATTTCAGCGTCAGGTCTGCCGTGCGGACAATTTAAATTATCAGGTGTTTGCTCCCGGAACCCCCTGATTCCTGCTCACCTACTCGCATCCCGGAGCTCTCTTGCTTTTCGATCCAGGAATCTGATCAGATGACGACTTGACTTGGGTCATACCCCAGCGGATTTGGGCTACGCCTTTGATAGAGTCTGCGAGTCTCCATGTCGATCGCCGCGGCTAATCACGCGTCCCAAGGAACGTGGATAAGGGTGAAGTGAGGCTTCGGAGTGTTCTCGCTCGCGACAACTAGCAGTATGACGAATAGGACAGTGATTATTGCTGTGACGCCGTGGATCATGACTTCCAGGCGGTGAGGCGAACCGCGGCGGGTAAGCGACAGCACGAGTCCTGTTTGGTAAACGGCGGTGGTGGCGAACTGCTTGGCGCGCGTCTCCTCTGCGTGGACGCTTCTGTGAAAGGCAAGGAGTGAGCCAGCCGAGCTAAGATCTCAGCCAAGAATCCAGTCAACGGCAGTCTGCTGTTCTTTCAGTTGGACGGAGGAGCGAGCGAGCCAGTGAACGGACGGGCGAACGAACCGAACGAGCCGGACAGACTGACAAGCGAACGTCTGTGAATCTGCCTCCTCGCCTGTTCCCACGCTAGCTATAGGCATCGGCGTCGTCGGCCACACGACTCACATCCGAAATACGACGACGACAACGACGACGACGACCACTACGACAACGACCACGGAGAAAAAGTAAAAGAACGAAACGTCAAGCGCGACACATCAATGAGTTCCGCGACGCACTCCCAGGGGGCGCTGCGGAGGTAAGAAGGCACCGAGCGCTTACCACCAACAGTCTACGTCGGATAGACGGATACTATTGCTGATCTCAATAAATTCAAAGATACAGAAGAAGACAAAGGGACGAATCGTGGACTTCGGGGGTGATGCCCGCCGCTCGAGCACCCATATGACAATAATTTGGCTCTAGATATCCAACCCGATCAAATCACTGATCGTTCCGGCATAGGCGGCCGTACGGTCGTATTACACATAGGATGTGGGCGTTCGATTGCTAATGTGCCCCGGTCCAGACTTCTCGGGGGTTGGGGAGCGCGCGTCATCAAAGACTCAGAAAAGGCTCCGGAGCACCTCATGCATCGGAGGGGAGCTCATTTGTAGGCGACGTGTCACTCCGAACATTGGACCGATTGGAAAGTCATTCCCTTCTCTTCAGAAAATTCATAGCACCGAGCGCTACTACTCTTCGGGACACTATCGGGATCATGTGCAGTGGGGCGATCGGCGAACATTCGAGCGAATGGAGGGCTAACGACTGAGAAATCAGAAACAAGCGCTGGGAGCTTTCGGAAGGAATCGCTTGTCCCAGAAGACACGAAGAGCTGGAATTCCTTCCATGATCGCTTTCGAGGGCCAGCCTCCGCAGACGTTTGCAGCTTGAGGGAACATTCTTTCCCTCGGGCCAGACCAATCATTCTGCCGAGTCCTGTTCGCACACTCAGGCACGATTTTCTAGCCTCTCGAGATTTGATCGCGGCGACGACGTCCGAGCAAATCCTTCAAGGGTAGCTGGTCTGCGCAAAGTGCTTTTCCCGTAAACCTCCTCCAGGACATCATCACCATGGGTTTCTGAGAGACCGTGCCCCGCGTCAGATGTGCTCCCATGTTATTCGTGCACCAGCTCGCGCCCGCGGACCTCGATAGAGTCGGACTTACGATTTTCTCTGCTTGATCCTACAGGCGACTAGCTACGCCGCGCCGTGAGAATCGTCTCGCACTCGAGCTCCTCTACGGAACCTACGTAGTGTGTCGAAATTCTCGATCCGACGTTCAGATGATGATGACTCAAGGGATTCCAGATAATACTCCGCCTTCGACCTCGCAGGCACGGACGTAGGTATCGGGGACCCTCAAGGCACGTGCTAGGCGAAGTCTCTTTTAATTTTAGGGAAGCTACATTATTCCTCCGAAATCGTTTCCCGGTTCGGATAGGAAGGAGGTCATCGTGGAGGATTCCATCGCTCAATTATTCGAACACATTGGTCGGTCAGGAGGTCGGACGTGAGTTTCAAGAGCGCGACCTAGTGGCCGATGCTACACCTGCCGCACAGGGTGCGCGAACCTCCACTAAGCTATAGGCCGATTGCGGAGAGGAGCCGAACGCAGAAAGACCGGAAGAAGCTAAAAAACTTGTTGTTCCACCCACAAAAATAGGCGCATGAGAAGCATCCTGTGCTGTCTGACTGTGTAGCTGCCGGTCGGTCGAGCTGACTGCCTGCCTGCATCCTGTGCTTCCACACAAGAACGGAAGCACACATTATGTAACTAGCGCCAAGAACCGAGCGAGGCACTCTGCCCAATATGACGCGTGGATTGTCGCGCTCAGTTATGAAGGTCATCAAGGGTCGAACGATTACGAATCGCTCTAGATGATTTTCTGGAGCGATTGGCTCTCTATCCGGCTCATCTTTCAAGAGTGAGCGACCGATTAATTCATCGCAGGTCTCCGACTCGAGCATTGAAGCCCCCAGGAACATATCGGCTGCGTGAACTCGACCGATGGGTATCCAAACATTCCCCCAGCCATAATAGCAATTGACCGCGCTGATGACGGAACTCGATTTTCTGGCAGCAACGTTGTTAGCGAAGCGCGGTCGACGGATTTCTTCGTCGCAAAATATTTCTCTTTCTCACCCCTTCAATGCCTCAGGAGTCTTCGATGAATTCTTATCCGATCAGACTTTGCATCTGACTGACTGAGGGGCAGTTGATGACCTCTGGCCTCGCAGGCTCCACCTATGCCTGAGCCCTGAGCGTCCCAATCGGTTGAGTGACTGGCTGGCTGGTCCAGCCGGGTCACTCCAGTCCAGTCGAGACACTTTCTCACGCTAGACTCGGACCTCCACACTGGCATCGAATAACAAAACGACCTGTTCAGCCGCAGCCGCATCGTGATCGCTGTACCAAGAAGTTCTAGGCGGTCAACGAACAATAATCAGCCGCCTAGAGAACGACAATGGATAAGACCGCTGATAGCTTGAATCGGACGGATTTTTCTCCCGCAGCTGCTGCGTTCGATGCCCCCATTGAGGATTCGAGGTCGGGGCCGAGGCGTTCCTCGCCTCTCCGCTGAAGCTTCTGAGCGAACCTCGATGCGAACGTGTCTCCTTCCGGACGCGTCAAATCAGAAGGCTATTTTATTTTCCGATAGATGAGGTGCGCTTGGGTCGGGAAAGACCATCGGGGCCGGCTCCGTTTCTCCCCATCTTCATGGGGTGAGCGAGTTTCGGGTCCGGCTTTCTCGCTGTCTCGTCGGGGCAAACACTCCCACCGTCTTCGTCAAGTCGGTTCGCCTCCATTTTTCATGCGCTCTGCGATATCGTGTTTGTTAGTGTACGCTATTCGTTTGTGTGGTGTAACCTTGCTCCTGTTCAGTCGCCGCGCCGCATTCTAGGCGATGGACTTATTCGAGACCGCTCTACAATGGCGTGGGACGAGTTCATTCATCGGAACAAAAGCTCAATCCACATTCGCCGAGGACGTTTGACGAGGCACCGATCGCGGTTGCGCCGACGTATAGACGAGCAGACAGATTCATGACAATGCCGAATGCTCTTTCGAGCGCTGGCTGCTTGATTCGCCGTTTGTCCGACAATCCACCGAGTTCGGCCGATTCAATGTCGACGCCCGAGTCTCCAGACGACCTCTTAGACATCGGCCCCAACTATCGAAGGAGAGCCAATGACAATAAACAAGCATCCAAGAGCCATCATTGATTTACGGTTGTACGCTTCGTGGAGACAGAGCGTTCACCC